GGCTGACTGCTCCCCTCGCTCTCGCTCTCCAGCCTCTGGTCCTGATGGCTGACTGCTCCCCTCGCTCTCGCTCTCCAGCCTCTGGTCCTGATGGCTGACTGCTCCCCTCGCTCTCGCTCTCCAGCCTCTGGTCCTGATGGCTGACTGCTCCCCTCGCTCTCGCTCTCCAGCCTCTGGTCCTGATGGCTGACTGCTCCCCTCGCTCTCGCTCTCCAGCCTCTGGTCCTGATGGCTGACTGCTCCCCTCGCTCTCCAGCCTCTGGTCCTGATGGCTGACTGCTCCCCTCGCTCTCGCTCTCCAGCCTCTGGTCCTGATGGCTGACTGCTCCCCTCGCTCTCGCTCTCCGGCCTCTGGTCCTGATGGCTGACTGCTCCCCTCGCTCTCGCTCTCCAGCCTCTGGTCCTGATGGCTGACTGCTCCCCTCGCTCTCGCTCTCCAGCCTCTGGTCCTGATGGCTGACTGCTCCCCTCGCTCTCGCTCTCAGCCTCTGGTCCTGATGGCTGACTGCTCCCCTCGCTCTCGCTCTCCAGCCTCTGGTCCTGATGGCTGACTGCTCCCCTCGCTCTCGCTCTCCGGCCTCTGGTCCTGAGTGGCTGACTGCTCCCCTCGCTCTCGCTCTGCGGCCTGGCTCCTGATGGCTGACTGCTCCCCTCGCTGTGGTTTTTATCCCCACTGCTAGGTCTCGGCTCCGCCCCTCGCTCTCGTGCTTCTGCTCCTGACTGATGATGACAATAAAATAGCATCTAACGCAGACATCAGTGACTAACAAGCTTGATTAGTTACCTTCTCTGGGAAGACATGGCGTTAAATCTGATGGTTTCCCCCAAACTCTTTTGCTTCACAATGTTTGCTGATCCCAAAGCCAAACATGGGGTTCAAGGGTTGTTTTTCCCCAATCACAGTTCCATTAGTCAATCATATTCCCAAACGTTCATCCAATTACATTCCACACCAGGACCCCCAGGGTTATTATATACACCTGCCATGTAAGCTCAAGACATGTTACCAGATGTGCAGGTGAAAAAGTCATCTTGAAACTTCATTCTCTCATTTTGACACCGTAATTTCTAAAACCCTGGGTAAGCTTGCTGTATCCAGCACCAAAGCTTATAGGACAACTGTCAGCTTGCTGTCCCATCATTAGAGGATGTTGAATAATAAAGAATAGCAAACCAAGAAAGAAGCAATTCCTTAATTGCCAACATCTGGTATGTCCCTTAGGTTTTTTTTGTTCCACCACAATCAGCAGTGTTTCTTTATTTTAATTCTTCATTTCACAGTTTTTAACTTTAATTATTCCTTTTAGCCTTTCCTTACAAGAGAGAACCTTATAGAGGTGCATATGATGCTAAATTGGATAGAGAAAGCAAAGAAGATACAGAGAAACTAAATCATATTTTCTAATATGCTAAAATAACAGACCAAAAGACTGAGGGGTACGAAAAACATGCTCAGGTCAGGCCTCCCAACTTGAAAAGCGCTGTATCAAATGCAAGGATTATTATTATTATTACCAGGAAGTGATTATTTACACAGAATTGCCATCATCTGGACTCATTTAACAAATGGTAATGCAAAACGGAATGAATAATATTGCCCAAAAAAGCATTCCTGTTGGTATCTGGGTTGCATACATGATCTAGAGGATAGAAGGTTATGGGAAGGAGTAAGAAATGGGCGAAGACTTGTGTTCAGTATGAACAACAACAACAACAACAACAAGATTCCATTTATAAAGCGCCTTTCACGTCAGGAGGACGTCCCAAGGCGCTGCACAGTTGGGTCATGACCCGAGCAGGGGGGAAATGGTCAGGGTGAGGGGAGGGAAGGGAGGGAGCGAGGAGGGGGGAAATGGTCAGGGTGAGGGGAGGGAAGGGAGGGAGCGAGGAGGGGGGAAATGGTCAGGGTGAGGGGAGGGAAGGGAGGGAGTGAGGAGGGGGAAGAGAGTCGAGAGGGGAGCTGAAGGCACGGTCAAAGAGAAAGGTTTTGAGACCGGCCTTGAAGGAGGAAAGGGAGGAAGCGGCGAAGGCACTGGGGGATGGAGTTCCAGAGCCTGGGGCTGAGAGGCTGAAGGCCCGACCACCGATGGTAGGGCGGTTGGGGCGGGGGACGTGGAGCAGACCGGAGCCAGAGGAACGGAGGGTACGGGCAGGTAGGTGGGGGGATAGTAGGTTGGAGAGGTAGGAGGGAGCAAGGCCGTGAATGGCCTTGTAGGTGAGGATGAGGATCTTGAAATCAATCCTCTGGGGGATGGGGAGCCAGTGGAGGCGAGCGAGGGTGGGAGTGATGTGGTCCCGAAGCCTGGTGCGGGACAGTACACGAGCTGCAGAGTTCTGAATGACCTGCAGCTTGTGGAGGGAGGTGGCGGGAAGGCCGGCGAGGAGAGAGTTCCCATAGTCCAGCCTTGAGGTGACAAAGGCGTGAACCAGGGTTTCAGCAGCGTGAGGGGTGAGGTAGTGCCGTAGTCTGGCGATGTTCCGGAGGTGATGGAAGGCGGTGCCAGTTGTGGTGCGGATGTGAGGGAGAAAGGACAGCTCAGGGTCGAACAAAACGCCGAGGTTCCTGACTGGCTTTGAGAGGTGGAGAGTGCAGTCTTGGATGCTGATGGTGTCAGCGCCTGAGGTGCGGAGGCGCTGACGTGAGCCAATCAGGAGGGCCTCGGTTTTTCGCACGTTGAGCTGAAGAAAGTTGTCTCTCGTCCAGGACTCGATGTCGGACAGGCAGCTGTCAGGACATCGGTGGTCGTGGAGTTGAGAGTAGAGGAGGAAAGGTAGAGTTGGGTGTCATCCGCATACATGTGGAAGTTAACTCCATGTCTGCGGATGATGTCACCAAGGGGGAGCATATAGAGGGTGAAGAGGAGGGGACCGAGGACAGAGCCCTGAGGGACACCACATGAGACAGTACGGGGGGTGGAGGAGAAGCCATTCGTTGAGACAAAGTGAAGACGGTGAGAAAGGTACGACCTAAACCATTCAAGGACAGTGCCTTGAAGGTTGAGGTGGGAGGACAAGCGGTGGAGTAGGATAGCGTGGTCGACCGTATCGAATGCTGCCGATAGGTCGAGGAGGACGAGGAGACAGAGGGAGCCCTGGTCACAGATGGTCAGGATATCATTGGTGACCTTGACCAGGGCAGTTTCTGTGCTATGGGCAGCACGGAAACCTGACTGAAGGGGTTCAAAAAGAGAATGGGTGGAAAGGAAAGAGCGCAGTTGGGAGGCGACAACTCTTTCCAAGACCTTGGAGAGAAAGGGGAGGTTGGAGATGGGCCGGTAGCTTGATAGCTGCGACGCATCAAGGGAGGGTTTTTTCAGGGTGGGCGTGATGATGGCAGTTTTTAATGGAATGGGGACAGAGCCAGAGGAGAGGGACAGGTTGATGATGTCAGTGATATGTGGGGCAAGAAAGTGGAGCTGGGAGATAAGGAGTGGAGTGGGGATGGGGTCAAGGGAGCAGGTGGTTGGTTTTAGGGATAGGATGAGTTCAGTGACAGAGGGTGGGGAAACGGGTACGAAGGTGTGTAGGGGAGGATGGGTAGGAGTCGGAGTGTGGGAGTGAGGGGGTGGGGGGTTGGTGGATGTTGGAGGGGAAGTGACCGCGGAGCGGATTCCCTTGATCTTGGATTCAAGGAAATCCAGCATCTCCTCGCAGTGAAGGTTGGAGGAGATGACCTGCGCGGGGTGGCGGGGGGGACGGAGGAGTCGGGTTGTGGTGGAAAACAGTAGCCTGGGGTTGTTCTTCGCCTCCAGGATTATCCTGGAGTAGAAGGACGACTTGGCCGAGGCTAGAGTGGAGCGGTAAATTTTGAGGAGGTCCAGCCAGATTTGTCGGTGGACCGTTAGGCCAGATTTGACACAGGTGCGTTCAGCAGCCCGCACCTGGCTTTTCAGTGAGCGGAGGTGGGTGGTGTACCAGGGGGAGGAGCGGGAGTAGGAGACAGTGCGGGAAGTGATGGGGGCAAGAGTATCGAGTGTGGAGGAGAGGGTATTGTGGAGGAGGGAGAGAGGAGAAGAGGGGTCGGTGAGGGTTGAAGGCCAGAGGGAGAGGAGTTCAGAGGACTCCAAGGCATCGGTTAGGGATTGTGGGGGTAACTTCTTCCAAGGGCGGTAGAAGATGGTGGTGGGTCTGGTGGAGGTGGGGAGGGGGTGGAGGTGGTGAAGGAGATGAAGTGGTGGTCGGAGATGGCCTTGTCGGTAATAGTGACATCCGAGACACTGAGGCCCCGGGTGATCACCAAATCGAGTGGGTGGCCGTGACTGTGAGTGGGGGAGTTTATGTGTAAGGAGAGGTTGAGTGAGGAGAGCAGGGAAGAGAAGTCTGTGGAGATGGAGCAGGAGGGTGTGAAGTGTAGGTTAAAGTCGCCCAGGATGATGAGGCGATCGGAGCAGAGGCAAAGAGATGTGAGGAGTGTTGAAATGTCAGAGATGAAGGTGGGAGAGGTTTTAGGGGGCCGGTAGAGGAGGAGGATTTTAAGGGAGAGGAATGAGGGGTGGGAGAGGGTGAGGTGCTCAAAGGAGGGGAAAGAGCCAGTGGAGTAGGGGATAGGGCAAGTGGTGTCCTTGAGATAAGGGCAACACCACCGCCACGGCGGTTGGGGCGGGGGATGTGGTGGGAGGTGTAGCCGGGTGGCGTGGCCTCCGTGAGGGGGAAGGTGTCGCCTGGGGTGAGCCAGGTTTCTGTTAATGCCATGATATCAACGCTCTCATCAAGGATGCGAACTCATGAGAACATGGGCTGAGTGGTCTGTTTCTTTGAATTCCAGTTGTAAACCTTTCTAAATTTTTGGATTACAATTGGGAATCTGGTGATGGTCAAATTCACATACTGTCCAATTATGTCAGATACCAACTAAAAGGTTTCCACTACCGAGGTTGCTATATTTTAGTAATTTGCGTAAAACAATAAGCTTTGTCATGGCTTGTGGTATTTCTGTTGGTGAACCGAGGCATTTTTTTTAAGTATAACAATTTACATTTTCCAATGACTTTCTGATCCAGTGGAAATCGCTACATTAACTAGAGAAAATGGGAAAACAAGAATAAAGGTTCTGAAGCAGAAGGAAGTTGAAGAGCTAATTAAGCAGCACGAGGAAGAGGAAGCAAAATCTGAACGTCAGAAGAAAGAAAAGGAACAAAAAGAAAAGGACAAATAAAAATGTGATTTGATGCAGATTTAGTGTGCTGTGTACCAGTGCAAATCTCTTTGCCTAGAGGATAGAATGGCAGTCAAGATAAGTCATATCTGGATAGTGAAACTGCAGTAACTCATAGCTTGATATTGAATCTATTTGTGTACACAGCGGGAACTCATTAATTCCACACAGTCAGTTGTAATTACTATATGGATTTTTATAAACAATAAAGGAAGGAATTGTATTTTGTTGATTTTTTTTTACAATTTCAGCCCGATTTAGGATTTCCAACTTTGTTGGCAGTTTACCACGTGATCTTTTCCCTGATTTGCCTGTGGCCCGTCTTCAGATTGCATCTCTTCCTTTCCTTTTTGAGTCACCTCCCCTTTCTCTCAGCTCAGTATCATTGTTAAGCTCTCCGCAACACCACACATTCCCACTCTGCCAAACCCATAATGACTCAATTGAAAGAGTTCCTGGATAATAATCCTGCAGAAAATTGATCATTTGCCTCATGGCTGTTTGAGGAGACAACCAGAACAGTCAATTCAGTTGACAAATTTACATCTGAAGCACTTTTCTAATCCTTATATCTTTACAAGGTGCATCAATCTGGTTCAGTTGGTAGTACTCATAGAATCAGTCAGAAGGTTGGGGGTGGGGGGGTGCTTATCATTTTTAAATCCTGGCATTGGGACGGGTGGAGAAAGGGGAGGCTTTAGAATGAATTTCTCAGAATATAAGATTGTATTTCCTAGTGTGATCAGGAGATGTCTGACTGTTAACATTAGCACATCTCCATCACTGAAGGATTAGATTACTTCCTGCTGATTCTCCTTGAAGGACCTACATCGATCCTTGTTTTTAGCTGCGTAAAGCTCCCAACATAATTACTGGTGACCGGGTGTCCCTTTGCACATTGTGGAAGCTGTCAACAGATGGGGGTAGAGGCTGAGACCCTGGGATCCACTGAAGAGACAACTCCATGGAGTAATGGGAGATTCAGAAACAAAATCGGATGTGGAAGTGGGAACTCTGGTGAACAATGAAAGAGCCTTCCTCACCCTCATAGAAATATAGAAACAGGAGTAGGCCATTCAACCCCTCGAACCTGTTCCTACTTATGGAAGTCACCCTAGTACACCAACCACCTCTGTTCCCTCAAGGCATAGCTGCATGCTGCGCACCTGGCTCAAATCTGCTTTAATGGTCCATTGGCAGATCTGGCTGGAACGTATCAAAACTTACCACTCATCCTCACCTCCACTAAATCGTACTCCTACTCCAAGACAATCTTGGAGGCCAAGGACAACCCCAGACTCCTCCATCACCAACTGGCTCCTCCACACCTCACTCATCCTCACCTCCAATGCTAACTGCATTGGAGGAGAGGATGGGCTTGAAGGAATAAGGTGATGCTGGACTTACCTGAAACCAAAGTTATGAGGATCACCTGCTCCCTCGACCCCATCCCTACCCCTCTCCTTACCCCACAGCTCCACCTCCTTGCCCCCCCTACTCACAGATATCATAAACAACAACATTTGTATGGCACCTTTCACGTCGGAAGAACATCCCAAGGCACTGGACAGTCAGTGTTTCGGACCTGAGCTCAGGGTTGGGATTGGGGAGGGTGGAGGGCAGGGGGAAACAGGGTGATTGAAAGCACAGTCTGAGAGGAGGGTCTTGAGATGGATCTTGAAGAATTAAACCTCTCCCTATCCATCGTTCCCAGCCTTTTGCTACTATTCGTGGAAACAGCTTTGGTCAAAGTGACAAATGACATTTTGTCCATCTGTGACCAGGGGTCCCTCTGACTCCTCATCCTCTTTGACCTCTCTGCTGCCTTTAATACTTCTTCACCGCCTCTCCTCTCACCTCAACCTTCATGGTTCTAACCTTGAATGGTTCAGATCCTACCTCTCACACCGTCTACATTTCATCACCACATATGGTTTCTCCCAATGTCTCGTGTGGCATTCCTCAGGACTCTGTCCTTGATCCCTCCTCTTCAATATCTTTGTGGAGTCCTGTAGCTCAGTGGTTAGAGCACTCGCTTTGCAAGTGAGAGACCTGAGTTCAATTCCAGGCAGAGGGCGAAACCTCGGGCAAGTTTCCTTACTCCACACAGAGCCTAATAATAATCCCTCCAAAACCAAAAATAATAAATTGGTCATTTTCAATCTACGACTGTTTGTGGGACACTGCTGTGCGCAATCGGCTGCCGCGTTCGCCCACAAATACAGTCAATTCACTTTACAGTGTGTTCTGTGAAGCGCTTTGGGACGTCCTCCCGACGTGAAAAGCGCTATATCAAATGCAAGGATTATTATTACTATTATTAATAATAATAATAATCTTGGTGACATCATCCACAGATGGTCAACTCCACATGTATGCGGATGACACCCAACTCTCTCTCTCTGCCCCCACCCTTGACTCCAGAACCCACTGCTGTCCTGACACAATGTCTGTCAGACATCAGGTCCTGGATGAGAAGTAACTTTCTTCAGTTGAATGTCAACAAGACCGAGGCTCCTGAATGGCTCCCGTCAGCACCTCCTCACCTCAGGCGCTGACAGCATCACCATCCATGGGGTTCACTCCCTCTCACTGCGCCAGTCCCGAACCTTGGCTACACGCATTCATAACATCCAGGCTTGACTATGCAAATTCTCTACTTGTCGGCCTTCCCCAACTGCTCCCTCCACAGACTGCAGATCATCCAGAACTCTGCAGCCCATGTTGTCTCCTGCACCAGGCTCCATGTCTCTATCACCCCCATCCTCACCCGACTAAACTGGCTTCCCGTTACACGGGGGATACAGTTCAAGATCCTGGTCATCACCTTGAAAGCCCTCCATGGCCTTGCCCCTTCCTGCCTCTGCAACATCCTAACTCCCCGCCAACCTACCCGCTCCTCCACTCAGCGGGCTCCGGCCTGCTTCACGTCCCCTGCCTCGCCCGCCCCATTATTGGGGGCCTTCAGCCACTTTGCCCCCACCCTCTGGACACCATCCTGCAGGCCCTCTGCCCTTCCCCTTCCTTACCCTCTTCAATACTGGTCTCAAGACCCTCCTTTTCGAACTTGCCTTCGATCACCCTCCTTCCCTGCTTGAAGGACCTACATCGATCCTTGTTTTTAGCTGCGTAAAACTCCCAAAATAATTACTGGTGACCGGGTGTCCCTTTGCACAGTGTGGAAGCTGTCAACAGATGGGGGTAGAGGCTGAGACATCCACCCTCTCCGACCCCAGCTCAGGTCCAAAACACTGATCGCCCAGCACCTTGGGACGTCCTCCCGATGTGAAAGGCACTATACAGATGTAAGTTTGTTGTCATCTCCAGCACAGATTCAAATGAGGAAGAAAATTAATAGATTCTGCCTGAGCTGCTGAATGTTCCCAGGGATCTCTGGGATCTTGGCCGACCATCTTCCAAATTAATTGTTTCTTTCACCTCACGACTGTTTGTGGTACTTTGCTGGTCCAGAGTGGCTGCTGTATTTCCCTACAAAAACAGTCATTTTCTTACAATAACCAGCAAATCAAGTTTCTCCCAGAAATTATTGCAGTGGAAAACATTTACGATTACTGAGATTTCTGGGAATCAAGAACGATTCAAGTACGAAGTAAAGCTTTTAGTGGTTTTGAATTGTGCTACTATTACAAAAAGCTTTGTGTACTGCAGTGAGTTTCTCACAGGCGAACAATTTCTCAATTCTGAATGTATAGTGTGCCACACTTATTGCAGATCATGTCATTAGACCAACTTGTCACAGTGCATCTTCACCAAATTGGCAGAGACTAAGGAAAAAAGTTCATAAGAGATGAAAAGATATAGTGCTTACATTTGATACAGAGCCTTTCACACCGGGAGGATATTTCAAAGCAGTTCACAAGATTCACAGAATCATACACAACAACAACAAGATTCCATTTATTGAGCGCCTTTCACGTCGGGAGGACGTCCCAAGGCGCTGTACAGTTGGGTCAGGACCCGAGCATTGGGGGGAAATGGTCAGGGTGAGGGGAGGGAAGGGAGGGAGCGAGGAGGGGGGAAATGGTCAGGGTGAGGGGAGGGAAGGGAGGGAGTGAGGAGGGGGGAAATGGTCAGGGTGAGGGGAGGGAAGGGAGGGAGCGAGGAGGGGGGAAATGGTCAGGGTGAGGGGAGGGAGGGGGTGAGGAGGGGGTAGAGAGTCGAGAGCGGAGCTGAAGGCTGAAGGTCAAAGAGAAAGGTCTTGAGACCGGCCTTGAAGGAGGAAAGGGAGGAGGCGGCGAAGGCACTGGGGATAGAGTTCCAGAGCCTCGGGGCTGAGAGGCTGAAGGCCACCAATGGTCGGGCGGTTGGGGCGGGGGATGGGGGGCCGACCAGAGCCAGAGGGACGGAGGGTACGGGCGGGTAAGTCGGGGGATAGTAGGTCGGAGAGGTAGGAGGGAGCGAGGCCGGGAATGGCCTTATAGGTGAGGATGAGGATCTTGAATTCGAGAAGGAGGCCACAGAAGGAGGCCATTCTTATTAATATTCTTCAACCCATCGTGTCTGTGCCGCTCTTTGAAAACAGCTTCCAATTCAACCCCACTCCCCCGCTCTCTCCCCATAGCCCTGATCAACCCCACTCCCCCGCACTCTCCCCATAGCCCTGATCAACCCCACTCCCCCGCACTCTCCCCATAGCCCTGATCAACCCCACTCCCCCGCTCTCTCCCCATAGCCCTGATCAACCCCACTCCCCCCATCTCCCCATAGCCCTGATCAACCCCACTCCCCCGCATTCTCCCCATAGCCCTGATCAACCCCACTCCCCCGCACTCTCCCCATAGATTTGATCAACCCCACTCCCCCGCTCTCTCCCCATAGCCCTGATCAACCCCACTCCCCCGCAGTCTCCCCATAGCACTGATCAACCCCACTCCCCCACTCTCTCCCCATAGCACTGATCAACCCCACTCCCCCGCAGTCTCCCCATAGCCCTGATCAACCCCACTCCCCCACTCTCTCCCCATAGCCCTGATCAACCCCACTCCCCACTCTCTCCCATATCCCTGATCAATGCCACTCCCGAGCTCTCCCCATAGATTTGATCAACCCCACTCCCCCACTCTCTCCCCATAGCCCTAATCAACCCCACTCCCCCACTCTCTCCCCATAGCCCTGATCAACCCCAAACCCTCGCGCACTCCTCATATCCCTGATCAACCTCACACCCCCGCGCTCTCCCCATAGCCTGATCAACCTCCGCGCTCTCCCCATAGCCCTTATCAATCCCACTCCCCGCTCTCTCCCCACAGCACTGATCAACCCCACTCCCCCACTCTCTCCCCATAGCCTTGATCAACCTCCGCGCTCTCCCCATAGCCCTGATCAACCCCACTCCGCGCGCTCTCCTCATCGCCCTGATCAACCCCACTCCCCCACTCTCTCCCCATAGCCTTGATCAACCTCACCCGCTCTCCCATAGCCCTGATCAACCCCACTCCCCCGCTCTCCCCATAGCCCTGATCAACCCCACTCACCTGCGCTCTGCCCCCATTGCACTGATCAACCCCACTCCCGCGCTCTCCCCATAGCCCTGATCAACCCCACTCCCCCTCTCTCTCCCCATAGCCCTGATCAACCCCACTCCCCCGCTCTCTCCCCATAGCCCTGATCAACCCCACTCCCCCGCACTCTCCCCATAGCCCTGATCAACCCCACTCCCCCGCACTCTCCCCATAGCCCTGATCAACCCCACTCCCCCGCTCTCCCCATAGCCCTGATCAACCCCACTCCCCCGCACTCTCCCCATAGCCCTGATCAACCCCACTCCCCCGCACTCTCCCCATAGCCCTGATCAACCCAACTCCCCCGCATTCTCCCCATAGCCCTGATCAACCCCACTCCCCCGCACTCTCCCCATAGATTTGATCAACCCCACTCCCCCGCTCTCTCCCCATAGCCCTGATCAACCCCACTCCCCCGCAGTCTCCCCATAGCACTGATCAACCCCACTCCTCCACTCTCTCCCCATAGCACTGATCAACCCCTCCCCCGCAGTCTCCCCATAGCCCTGATCAACCCCACTCCCCCACTCTCTCCCCATAGCCCTGATCAACCCCACTCCCCCACTCTCTCCCCATATCCCTGATCAATGCCACTCCCGAGCTCTCCCCATAGATTTGATCAACCCCACTCCCCCGCTCTCTCCCCATAGCCCTGATCAACCCCACTCCCCCACTCTCTCCCCATAGCCCTAATCAACCCCACTCCCCCACTCTCTCCCCATAGCCCTGATCAACCCCAAACCCTCGCGCACTCCTCATATCCCTGATCAACCTCACACCCCCGCGCTCTCCCCATAGCCCTGATCAACCTCCGCGCTCTCCCCATAGCCCTTATCAATCCCACTCCCCCGCTCTCTCCCCACAGCACTGATCAACCCCACTCCCCCACTCTCTCCCCATAGCCTTGATCAACCTCCGCGCTCTCCCCATAGCCCTGATCAACCGCACTCCGCGCGCTCTCCTCATCGCCCTGATCAACCCCACTCCCCCACTCTCTCCCCATAGCCTTGATCAACCTCCCCGCTCTCCCCATAGCCCTGATCAACCCCACTCCCCCGCTCTCCCCATAGCCCTGATCAACCCCACTCCCCCGCTCTCCCCATAGCCCTGATCAACCCCACTCACCTGCGCTCTGCCCCCATTGCACTGATCAACCCCACTCCCGCGCTCTCCCCATAGCCCTGATCAACCCCACTCCCCCTCTCTCTCCCCATAGCCCTGATCAACCCCACTCCCCCTCTCTCTCCCCATAGCCCTGATCAACCCCACTCCCCCGCTCTCTCCCCATAGCCCTGATCAACCCCACGCCCCCACTCTCTCCCCATAGCCCTGATCAACCCCACGCCCCCACTCTCTCCCCATAGCCCTGATCAACCCCACGCCCCTACTCTCTCCCCATAGCCCTGATCAACCCCACTCCCACACTATCTCCCCATAGCACTGATCAACCCCACTCTCCCGCTCTCTCCCCATAGCCCTGATCAAACCCACTCACCCGCTCTCCCCCATTCTCTCCCCATAGCCCTGATCAACCCCACTCCCCGCTTTCCCCCCACAGCCCTGATCAACCCCACTCCCCCGCTCTCCCCATAGCCCTGATCAACCCCACTCCCCGCTTTCCCCCCACAGCCCTGATCAACCCCACTCTCCCGCGCTCTCTCCGCATAGCCCTGATCAACCCCACTCCCCCACGCTCTCCCCATAGCACTGATCAACCCCACTCCCCACTCTCTCCCCATAGCCCTGATCAACCCCACTCCCCCGCTCTCTCCCCATAGCCCTGATCAACCCCACTCCCCCACGCTCTCCCCATAGCACTGATCAACCCCACTCCCCCACTCTCTGCCCCCATATCCCTGATCAATGCCACTCCCGAGCTCTCCCCATAGCCCTGATCAACCCCACACACCCGCTCTCCCCCCACAGCCCTGATCAACCCCTCCCCCGCGCTCTCCCCATCAACCTGATCAACCCCACTCCCACACTATCTCCCCATAGCCCGGATCAACCCCACTCTCCGCTCTCTCCCCATAGCCCGGATCAACCCCACTCTCCGCTCTCTCCACATAGCCCTGATCAACCCCACTCCCCGCTTTCCCCCCACAGCCCTGATCAACCCCACTCCCCCGCGCTCTCCTCATATCCCTGATCAACCTCACACCCCCGCGCTCTCCCCATAGCCCTGATCAACTGCACGAGTCCGATCTCTCCCCATATCCTGTTCAACCCCACACCCCCGCGCTCTACCCATATCCCTGATCAACCCCACACCCCCGCGCTCTCCCCCGCTCTCTCCCCATATCCTTGATCAACCCCACACCCCCGCGCTCTCCCCCACTCTCTGCCCCAAAATCCCTGATCAATCCCACTCCCGAGCTCTCCCCAAAGCCCTGATCAACCCCACTCCCCCACACTCTGCCCCCACAGCACTGATCAACAGCACTCCTGCACGCTCTCTTCCCATAGCCCCGATCAACCCCTCTTCCGCCCTCTCCCCATAGCCCTGATCAACCCCACTGCCCCGCTCTCTGCCCCCATATCCCTGATCAACCCCACTCCCGAGCTCTCCCATAGCCCTGATCAACCCCACTGCCCCGCTCTCTGCCCCCATATCCCTGATCAACCCCACTCCCGAGCTCTCCCCATAGTCCTGATCAACCCGATTCCCCCACACTCTGCCCCCATTGCACTGATCAACCGCACTCCCCCTCTCTCTCCGCATAGCCCTGATCAACCCCACTCACTCGCGCTCTCCCCATAGCCCTGATCAACCCCTCTCCCGCTCTCTGCCCCCATATCCCTGATCAATGCCACTCCCCCGCTCTTTCCCCATAGCCCTGATCAACCCCACTCCCCCGCTCTCTCCCCATAGCCCTGATCAACCCCACTACCCCGCGCTCTCCCCATAGCTCTGCAAACTTGTCCTCCCCAAATAATTATTTACTTCACTCTTAAAAGCCGTTACGGAATCGGCTCCCATGAGCCTTTCAGGCAATGCTTTCCAGATCCCAACAACTCACTGTGTCAAAACATTTCTCCTCACCTCTCCTCTGTTTCTTTTTTTAATTTGATGTCCTCGGGTTACCGACCCACCCGACAATAGATTGATTCACTGTAAAGTGTAGTGCTTATATAAACAGTGCTGTAATACAATGGCAGAAGTCCAGATCACATGCTCGCAATTAAACTTTAGAGAAAACATTTAAAACCTGGTCAATGTTTGAAAAAACATCAAATTCAAACTTGTTGAAATTCAATGTAAAAATTGCCTTTGAATTGTTTTATTCAAACCTGAGGCAGATGACAAGGTATTACAATTTACTTCTTGCTCCGGCAGAGCATTTGGAATGATTAATTCCAGTACCATTTCCTTAAATTAGTCATTTAACTTCCAGTTTAGATTCTCTGAATGAGTTTCAAAAGAAATGAATACATAATGTAGCAGGACACCCCAAGGCCAGCATTCTGACATCAGATAATTCATTATAGTCACATATCAGTGTAGGAAATACACCCATCTGCCTCCTCTCACTATAGGAGACAGATGGGTATGTTTCCAAGATTGATATGTGACTATCGTGAATCACTGTGAATTTTACCAAATTAATCTTTTTCTCTGAAATATTATTAGTCATTACCCAGATTTCTTCTTCCAGTTTAATACTTTCAAATTTTGCTTTTTATTGAGTCACTTTCTCAATCAGTAGAGCAGAGTAAAATCTCAATACAATCTTGTAAGAAATTATCTGCAGATTTATCTAAACTATTTTCTTGTGTGCAGTTTCAGTGAATTACATACATGGTACATAATGTGAATAGCTAACTTCTCTAATAAAAACTTGATCAAAAAAATCAGACAGTACGTGAAAAACTTGAAATTCCTGAAGATCTTAAAGGCGAACAATTCTGCATTTGTACGATGATCACATTATTTCTTTAGGATCACGACTGCCTAAGGGAATATTTTATTCCACCTTTGTTGTAAAATACAGTGTATCAGAGATATTTAAACACAAGTTACTGTTAATCATAATCAACAAGCTATGAAGCTCAAACATCAAATTACAAATTTTAAAGTTTAAGAGTTAAGAATAATGACTTGTGAATCTTTTACTAAACACTGGCAAATATCAGGTGAACTAAAAACATGTGAATTGCTAAATTAGTCAGTTGGTGGCTCTTGTGACAATAACTGTGTGAATACACTAATTATAAATATGTTTTGCAATTGCCGCTGCAGCTTGGCATTCTGTTAGCTGTTAGGAGTAGAACGTCAGTACGCTCTTTTGATTTCCTCTAATCATTATGACAGGAGGCAGGTTTCTAGAAAGAATCTCCAGCCAAGCCATGTACAGATGGCCTGACACAGCTCCTTTCTTTGCTATCGGCAAGCTCCTGGCATGTAAAAGAAAATTACATATTAACATTATGGTTAAAAAGAGTTAACAATACATGATGCTGATCTATTTTTATGTAATAAATATTAAGTACTGGGTACAGCAATACAACCCATACACTCATATGCTCTCTCAAACACCTAACTTGGCTTGATACAAGTCCCCTGTCCCATCCTGAGTGGCTGAACTTTCCACTCACAGTTGTAACCTCTGGACATCCTCCCTCAACCCCTTCCCCTCACTCCTGTCTTTAAGTCCAGTCTTCAAACCTACCTCTTTCGACAGTGCCTGTGGTCACCTTCTTTCCCCTCTCCTGCTCGACACCTGTTATTCCTTGTGATGGGCACTATATAAATGCATGTTTGTGTAGAAACAAAAATAATCACCTAGCCCTATACAAACTCAAAGCTCTTTCCGGACTGCATGTCAGGTAAGAGTTTTATTGTTGCATCTGAAATTAACAATCACTGGTGTAAAAGTTTTCATTTATCTGCCTCAGCCACAACAGGGATGGTCAACTTGCATGCTGTGGGACTATCTTACACATACATACTGTGGCCCGTTGATTGCAAGTTGGTCATCCCTGATCCACAGTATTTACTTACACAATAACCATGTTAGCAGCTCGGGAGTTCTCCTGGAGCAGTTCATTAAGCCTGACTTGACGGTACGTCTACGTTGAAAAGAAAAGTCACGTTAACAGCAGCCTGTACAATTATGCTAACAGCGTGAATACATTGGCAGTATTTATATTTTGGTGAATTTGCATCCACCTTATCTTTAAATCTTTCCAACTCAGCATCAGTAATCTTCCACGGTTCCTCTCTCTTCAGCCTCTCCGTAGTGGCACTGTCCTTCATGGCCTCATGCAGTCGGTATGGTTCAATCAACTCCTCAAACGTTTTCCAGCTGTAATCAGGCATTTCAATTGACTGGAAATTAGTCCCAACTCACGACAACCTTCATCACAATCGATACATTTTAGAAGATGTCAACCATGAGTAAGTAGTATTTGATATCTAATGGTGTTCCCCTTTGGGTAGATGCTGTACTTTCAATACTAACTGAGGTTGTCTCACACAATGATGGTATCATCGAGAATTATGCAATTCACACTGCACTGTGTAATCTGAGTCAAAATCCATTTCTCAGCAAATTTAACAGGTAAGACGACATTGCAAATCATGTGCATGTAAAAGTCTGAAGCTGATAGTTTGACCCATTCAGGCTCAGGCTAATTCTTCAAATAACTAGTTTACCTTCATATCTATCTATGCCACTAACCCTCTATTTTATTCCTGACAAGATAAGAGTGAACAGGTGATATCTTTTCAGACCTCAATCATTACCAGTCTCGAGGCAGCCATTCACTAATCTCACACAGCCAGCCTGAGATTCAAGAGTTTGTAGGTGGAAACAAACATCCCACCCAGTGGTCACCCCACAGCCACAGAGGGTTCAGCAGGAGAGTGAGTGAGTGGAAGAGTATCAATGCACAGGGGACACAGGGAAGAGTATCAATGCACAGGGGACACAGGGAAGAGTATCAATGCACAGGGGGCACAGGGATAGTGCTAATACAGTTGTCATTGGGGACACAACAGCCAAAGGGATTGACAGGCGTTTCTGCAATCACAGACATGAATCTCGAATGGTGGGTTACCTCTCTGATGCGAGGGTCAAGTTACCACATGGGGTTATGATGTAGTGGCAATAACGGAGACCTGGCTCAAACAAGGGCAGGAATGGGAGCTGAATATTCCTGGCTACAATGTACTCAGGAGGGATCGGGAAGGGTAAAAAGGAGGTGGTGGGTGTGCAATATTGATTAAAGACACGGTTACGGCTCTGGAAAGGGACGATGTGCGAGAGAGTACAGAAACAGAATCTATTTGGTTAGAGTTAAGGAGCAGAAACTGAGCTGTTACTCTGTTAGGTGTAAACTATAGACCACCAAATAGTGGGAAGGAGACAAGACGAGCAAATCTGCAGCAGATTTCAGAAAGATGTAAAACCAACAGAGTAATGGGGGACTTCAGTTATCCTAACATAGACTGGCAAAATAACAGTGTAAAGGGCAAGGAGGGGGGAGGATTCCTGAAATGTGTGCAGGATAACCTTCTGGATCAGTATGTTTCCAACCCAACGAGGAAGGAAGCAGTGCTGGATCTCATTTTGGGGAATGAAGTGAGGCAAGTGGAGCAGGTTTCAGTAGGAGAACATGTGGACAACAGTGATCACAACCTCATTAGCTTTAGAGTACATATGGAAAGGGATAAGGAACAATCAAAGGTGAAGATACTCAACTGGAAGAGGCTAATTTCAGGGAGTTAAAAAGGGTCCTAGCCAAGGTGGACTGGAAAGAAAGATTGGCAAGTAAAACAACTAACGAGCAACGGGAAGCCTTAAAATAGTTTGGGGACAGAACAAATACATTCCCACAAATAGGAAAGGTAGGACATCCAAACCTCCCTGGGTGAATAAGGAAATTAGGATTAAAATAAAAGAGAAAAAGGAGGTTTATGATAAATGTCGGGTCTAAAATACAGAAGATAATCAAATAGAAAATGGAAAGTACAGGGGAAAACTGAAAAAGGAAATAAGAGGGGCAAAGAGATTGTATGAGAAGATTAGTGGGTAACATAAAAGGGATTCTATAAGCATATAAAGAATAAAAGGTTAGTCAAAGGTAGAGTGGGGCTGATTAGGGACCAAAGAGGAAATCGTCTTATGGAGGCAGAGGGCTCACGTACCGAATGATGACTTTGCATCTGTTTTCACAAAAGAAGAGGATGGAGCCAATGCCACAGTATCGGAGGAGAGGGTAGAGAAATTGGATAATAATAAACTGAGGGGAGGTACTAAAACAGATTGTCAGTGCTCAAGGTAGACACGTCCCCCGGTCCGGACGGGATGCATTCTAGGTTACTGAGGGAAGTAAGGGTGGCAATAGCGGAGGCTCTGGCCACAATCTTTCAATCCTCCTTGGACACTGGGGTTGTGCCAGAGGACTTCAGGGTTGCAAATGTTACTCCCTGTACAAAAAGGGGCAGAAGGATAAACCCGGGAACTACAGGTCAGTCAGCCTAACATCAGTAGTAACACCCAGAGACTATAATCCAGGACAAAATAAATTTTCACTTAGAAAAATATGGGTTAAGGACAGTCAACACGGCTTTGTTAAAGGCAAATCATGTATAACAAACCTGATAGAGTTTTTTGATTCAGTAACGGAGAGGGTGGATGAAGGTAGTGCAGTTCATGTAGTTTATATGGATTTTCAAAGGCTTTTGATAAAGTGTCACATAAGAGACTTGTTAGCTAAATAGAAGCCAACGGTATTAAAGGGACAGTGGCAGCGGATACAGAACTGTCTGGGAGACAGGAAGCAGAGAGTGGTGGTGAACGGTTGTGTTCCTGACTGGAGGGAAATGTGCAGTGGTGTCCCCCGGGGTCAGTATTGGGACCACTGCTGTTTGTGATCTGTATAAATGACCTGGACTTGGGTACAGGGAGTACAATCTCCAAGTTTGCAGATGATACTAAGCTGGAAAAGTAGTAAACAGTGAGGAGGATAGTAACAGACGGCAAATGGACACAGACAGACTGGTAACATGGGCAGACACGGGGCAGATGAAGTTTAATGTGGAGAAATGCATGAGAAGTGATGCATTTTTGGAGGAAGAATGAGGAGAGGCGATATAAGCTGATGGGACAATCTTAAAGGAACAGAGAGACCTGGGGGTCATATAGAAAATCTTTGACGGTGGCCGGACAGGCAGATAGAGCTGTTAATAAAGCATCCGGGATACTGGGCTTTATAAATAGGGGCATAGAATACACAAGTCAGGAAGTTATGATGAACCTTTATAAACACCGGTTAGGCCTCAGCTCGAGACTGTGCTCAGTTCTGGGCCCCACACTTTAGGAAGGATGTCAAGGCATTGGAGAGGGTGCAGAGGAGATTGACCAGGATGGTACCAGGAATGAGGGGCTTCAGTTATCAGGAGAGGCAGAGAAGCTGGGATTATTCTCCTTGGAGCAGAGAAGGTTAAGAGGAGACTTAATAGAGATGATGAGGGGATTCGATAGGGTGAACAAGGAGAAACTATTCCCACTGGCGGGTGGGTCGGTAACCCGAGGAACCATTTAAAATAGTTGTTAAAAGAAACGGAGGGGAGGAGAAATGTTTTCATACAGTGAGTTGTTGGGATCTGGAAAGCGTTGCCTGAAAGACTGGTGGAAGCCGATTCAATAACAACTTTCAGGGAGTAGATAAGATATTTGCGGAGGAAAAAATTTGGACAACCGTATTTCAAAGAGCCGGCACGGACACAATGGCCTGAATGGTCTCCTTCTGTGCTATATAATTCTATGATTCTAATCCATATTCCCATCAGCAAACACCCCACAGAATCTATAACTCCCATCACCAGCTGGAGAACATTCAGAAAGATACTTCACTGAAATAAAAACACTGAACATTCAAAGAGATCTGAACAATAGAAATTTAAATGGTCTGTTGTGAAGGGCTTGGCTTTTTGTGACAGCAGCACTTACTCCCATCCCGAATTGTGTGTTCCTGTATCACATGCAACAAAGTGTAATCTCCCCCAGTCACTGAGGGAGTTCAGGCACAAACCCAAATCACACACCGTGCAGTTGGGCATCTTCTCACTCAGCTCCTGTTAACCCTACAAACTGAAGCCCAAACCAGTACAGTGGTCCGAGCTGGTCAAGAAGCGGGAAAGCCTACCAGATGGTGCTTAATGTTAAGATATATAGTTTTAGCTGGCTAAATTCCAGCAGTTACCCCAAGGCACACTCTGGGGTCCCCAAGCCTTGGTTCCTGTAGACCTACGCTTAATATTCTCTGGAATTAGGTAAGCAGTATGCGTCCCTCCAGGGAGAGAGTGCGGATTCCATTCCAGACATACAGGAATTTCCATGTGGGATACATGGAACTCTCAGTTAGGTTTGGAGACTCTTAAGCATGGTGATGAGTTTCTACATGTGTTAGACACCCAGCTGGCCAAAAAAATAATCTATGAAAAGATTGACAAGCATAGGAATAATTTATTTTTATGTCTGCCTTCTGCATGTTGTTGATGTTGGAAGACTCTGTACCTCTCCTTGCTTGGTTTTGTGTTGATGTCTCCAATGACCTTGATGTCTGCATACTGAATTCTGAATTTCCCTAAAAGTGCAGCCATTCTAGAGGAACAAAAAGTATAAAATAAATAAACCTTGGGCAAGTTTCCTTACTTCACACGCCTAATAATAATCCCCCCAAAACAAAACAATAATAAAATTGATTGTTTTCAATCCACGACTGTTTCTGGGACATTGCTGTGCGCAATTGGCTGCCGCATTTCGTCCACAAACATACAATCAATTCATTTTACAGCATATTCTGTGAAGGGCTTTGAGACGTCAAGAAGACGTGAAAAGCGCTATATCAAATGCAAGGGTTATTATTATTATAGACGTTAACATTGCTGACCTTACTCCTGTAGTTTTATCTAAATTGGCTGCAAATTTTAAAAGCAAAATGATCTCACTAGAAAGCAGATTGCAGTTTATCTTCTTATCTTCTTAGCAGGGTCTTCTTGGAGCTGAATTTATTCCAAGATGATTCACAACAGAATGTCAGAATCATCAACCCTCTGTGGCTGTCTGGGAGTTGCTGAGCAAGGTGGATTAGCAGGACAGAACACTGCTGATAATAGCAGGACTTGGGCAGGACTTGGAAGGGCAAACCGGTAACAGGGGGGCAGGGATTCTTCCAACTCAGCTTCTGTTAACGCTACAAGCCAATTGCTGACAGGTAAGATGGTCCTACCTGGAAAAGCAGGCAGAGCTCTCAATGGAAAGCCATGCGGTTTTAGATGCTTAAACTCCACCAATTACCCCATGCCCCAGGGCCCCCAGTCTTCTCTGGAATTTGGTAGGAAAGGGTGCATACCTCCAGGGAGAGAGGCATTCTGCTTCACACATAGGGAAATTTCCATGTGTAGGGGTATTCATACGTGGAACTCTCAGTCTCATATAGAGGCTCTTAAGCATCACAATGGGTTTCCGCATGTCAGACACTTAGTTGATCAAAAAATGTTTCCAGAAACAGAGATAGTTGTTTTGTGTTTCAGAAGTATTTACCATCAATATCAACACGATCTAAAGTACAGATAATTTCAATGTGCCAGACAGATGTCTAAAAAGGAGTAATTTACAGGGTTATGGGGTGGATGGATTGCTCTTTCAAAGAGCAACACTGGTCTGAATGGCCTCCTTCTGTCTGTAAAGTTCTATGGTTCTACAGAAAGACAAGGTTCTTACGCTCGTTTTTCCTCATCAATACTATTTATGTTTCCACCAACAAAGATACGCAACTTGCAGTCACACCACTTTTTCCTTGTAGTTAAGAGATAAGGAACAAGTACAGTCAAACCTATTGGTGATAATAAAATAAAGATTAATTACTGCAATCACAATTTACAGGATTCATTCCTAGCATTTCTCTTTTCTAATACTGACTAAGATCGATGAGTAGAACTTCTATATAGAATGCAGACAATGATACATTTTGAAGTTTTAAATTATTAGGATTCTCAAATGGAAATTAATGCACACTGCAGATATTTTTCTTAAAATCTTCAAATATAGCATTTAAAAAAAAGTTTAATCCAAATTCTTGTCATTATATTAAAACATAGAGCATTGAAGAATAATGTCTCATACCTCCATCATCAAACAGCCACCATACATCTATTGTGCCTTTGCCTTGATTCTTTTGGAATTGAATACTTGCTTCCAGAAGGCGACAATTATAGTCACCAGCAGCTCCAACACTGAAGTCTGCATATGAAACAAGTTATTTTATTGAATATCAATAATAATCTTTACATTTTATGTAGCACCTTTCCCATTGGGAGGATGTCTCAAAGTGCTTCACAAGGTTTACTATAAAGAGTAGTGACTACATTTCGCCGGTGAATGCAGTGTATTTGGGCAGTGTACTCAGTGTGAGAGCTCTATGAATAAGACTGTAACTTAACTAAAACTTGTACTACTACTACTTGCATTTGTATAGCGCCCCTCACACAGGATAGCGTCCTAGCGCGTTTGATTTAAAAATAACATCATTCAGTTTATTCACTACCCTAATTATTGGAATAATTATAAATTGATGGGATATATAAATTTAGTTATGTGGAAAGACTAGAGAAGTTGGGATTGTTCTCCTAAGAGCCAAGAAGGTTAAGGGGAGATTTAATAGAGGTGTTCAAAATTATGAAGGGTTTTGATACAATAGATAGGGAGAAACTGTTTTCTCTGGCGGGTAGGTCGGTAACCAGGGCACTTAGATTTAAGATAATTGGCAAAAGAACCAGAGGGGAGATGAGGGAAATTTTTTTACTCTGTTGTTAGGGTCTGGAATGCAAGTTGTTCTAGTTGTCAGTTTAGACGATATGAGTTCCATTAGGGTTAGGGTTAGATGAGGGGCTTGAAGCCACAAACATTCTGTCTCTGAGGTGAGAGAGCCACCACTGAGCCAGGCTAACACGGAGAGATGAATATTTCTAACATTTATAACTACGAACTTTAGTAAAAAGTTGAACTTTACTTAAGACACTAATTATCACTTGTTACTTTAGGTGAAAGCAGTTTTAAACTTTACCAGCCTTGCATTCGGATCTCTGTAAATACCAATTCAAGTCAAACTCTATCAACAGTTAGATCAGTATTTACTATAGCCTCAGAATCCCACTAAGACATCTCTAGGCCTTAGCTTGGCACAGTTGAAAGCATTGCATTAGAAAGTTGGTCCAAACCTCACATCAACATTTTGTGCAGACACTGCAGAGTTCTAAGTTAAAGTTAAAGATCCCATGGTACTGTTCAAAGCAAGGAGGGACTTTCCTCATGGTGTTCCAGATAAAACTGATTGTTTACTTTATGGCTGTGTGGGACATTGCTGTGCACAAATTGACTGCTGTGTTCCTATAAAATACAGTCACTACATTTCACGACATTTTACAATAAAATCCTGTGACACGCTTTGAGACATCCTCCCGTGAAAGGATTGTGATTATTTATTTGTGTGAAATTCTTGTATACAAACTGGCCACCAAACCACCTACAAACAGTCACTACATTTTAAAGCAATTCCAACTTTGTGTCTCAGTTGCAGTTTTTAAAAAAAATATGAATTACAACAACTTGCAGTTATATAATGGTCTTCACATAGAGTAAACTCTCGGAGCGCTTTGCAATGACAGGGCAGATTCAAAGCAAGAGAGAAGGGAGAGAGGGGAAACGGGTGGTGACCATACATGTGGTTGAAGGTGGATATAAAGATAGTTAGAGAGTGGGTGAGACAAAGAGGTAGAGGGTGGGAGTTCCACAGGTTAGAGGTGCATAAGCTGAAGACTTGGCCAACGATGGTCACGCAGAGGGAGTGGGGCGTGAGCAGGCTCGAGTTAGCTGAGCAGCGGGTAAAAGGAAGAAGAGAAGATCATAGAGGTAAGGAGAGTGAAGGGATTATAAGTGAGGGTGAGGACGGTAAAGTCAATCCGTTAGGAGACAGCGAAGCCTGGCGAGGTCTAGGCCAATACGCATGCGGGGCTTGGTGAGAATGCAGGTGACAGAGTTCTGCATTAATTGGAACTTAGAGATGGTGGAGCTAGGAAGAGCAGTGAGAAGTGCATTTAAAAAGTCTTGACAGGAGGTAACACAGGCTTGAATAAATGTTCACCAGTGACATTTGGTGAGAAAAGTGGATGGGTAATGTGCACTGTATACAGAAAGTGAAAACAAGGGTCTTGGCCAGGATTAATGTTGATCAGTATTTATTACCTTGCTGTGCATTTGCTGGTGGCGTAGTATTGGTATTGAACTTGACAGCTTTGTTTATGAATTTAAGTGAACAAATTCCTTGTTTTCTGTCCTCAGGTTCTTCTCCACTAGCAGCTTTTAATGCCAATGTTTCTTGCTCCTTCTTCAATAATTCTTCTACAGAATAAGTCAAAAAAAGTTTCACATTAGTTGCAGTCAAGTCATAAATAAAACGACCTTCAGGACTTTGGCTTGCAGGGTTATTGGGAGCTGAGTGGGAAATGTCCCTGCCCCCAGTGACTGGTCTTCCCTCACATGCTACCTTGGAGCCAGTTCAACTCCAAGGAGAGCTTGCTTATCCCTGCAGAATAGTGACTTAGTTGGTCATTTGACATCAAACAAGTGCAGATTGAAACGTAGGTACCAGGCTGCCTGCGAGCTGCCTGGTGATCAACTCAACTCAGCATGAAATGCGTGAGAGCTTTGCCACCATCTTCCTGTCCGCAATTCGGACACAGATCTCTTCCCATTGAGTGATGATCCCACAAATTGGAGGTACGGAGCTTAAGCAGCAGCTGCTTATTTCTCTGCAGGCCAATCAAGGTGGATTCCAGCCGCTGGACGTATGAACAGACGTTGGAATTCATATAACTTCTTCCAGTGCAAGGCTCAGAGTTTCCCTATTAGCTATCTGGTGGGCATCTGCATTTTATTGTGGTGGAAGGACTTTTATAGGACCTTATGACGTGCCAGCTGCCATGATGTTCTTAAGGTCCAATACCATTACCAGGCTTAGTCCTCACCAGTTGCTTAAACCAAGTCCTTGTATGAGGGGTCTTGGCAAATAGACATGCCTGCTGTGAAGCTGACTCCACAGCACCCCAGGCGCTCAGACCCACAAAGAAGAATTGTTTCCACACAGATCTCATATACACATTGACCTCCATTGGGACCTTGAAGAAAGACAAAGCATGACCAGAGTGCCCTTCGCCTATTCTCTGTACGGTCCTTAAGGACAGAGTCCAGGCAAAGGTTGGTGTCCCGAGGTGCCAATAAGAAGCAACAATTGGGACTGGTGCCCCTTTTATCTTTCAATCAAAACACTCGATATCTTCTCTCGAGCTGTGTACAACCATGGTTCCACACTAGAGGGAGCCCACCATCATGTCCCACCAGTTGACCCAGTGTTCAAGATGGCGGATGCAGCACAGAAGATCCCCGGGTGAGACTGCAGCAGCTTCTGGGCTGTTAAGGTAGTTAAGCCAACATCTCAGGATCAATCATGGTAAGAAATCCTCTGTTATATGTGCTCAACGGGCAAAGGGCTAGAGTAATATTTAGGGTTTGCTACAAGACCACCAGGCCAAAGCAGGGAGAACGACTTGTCATAATATTAGTAGTGGATGTGAGAAAAAGAAGGAAATACTGATAAAGGACATCTAATCAGCCCAACATAAACTGGGAATGCCCAAGTGTGAGAGTCACTGTGTAAATGTGATTCATGACTGGTTCCTGACTCAGTGTGCCACAAGGAGCAATTCTCTTCAGTGACCCAGTCACTATTCAATGGAAGTAGTTGATCCATTAGGGGACAGTGAATCTACAGCTCCATAATCTTCAGTTTGCCTTGGGAAATAGCACCAGCACGTAACCAGCCTCCAGTGTACAACTTTAGGTGGGTAAACTACAGGGATCTAAATATTAACTCCTAATATCAACAACTAAAATAGTTGTTAAAAGAAACTGAGGGGAGGTGAGGAGATTTTTTCCCCAACGAGTTGTTGGGATCTGGAATGCATTGCCTGAAAGGCTGGTGGAAGCCGATTCGATAACAACTTTTAAGAGAGCAGCTAATTATTTGGAGAGGACAAGTTTGCAGAGCTATGGGGAGAGTGCAGGGGAGTGGGGTTGATCAGGGCTATGGGGAGAGCGCGGGGGAGTGGGGTTGATCAGGGCTATGGGGAGAGTGCAGGGGAGTGGGGTTGATCAGGGCTATGGGGAGAGCGCGGGGGAGTGGGGTTGATCAGGGCTATGGGGAGAGTGCAGGGGAGTGGGGTTGATCAGGGCTATGGGGAGAGTGCGGGGGAGTGGGGTTGATCAGGGCTATGGGGAGAGTCCAGGGGAGTGGTGTTGATCAGGGCTATGGGGAGAGTGCGGGGGAGTGGGGTTGATCAGGGCTATGGGGAGAGCGCGGGGGAGTAGGGTTGATCAGGGCTATGGGGAGAGAGCGGGGGAGTGGGGTTGATCAGGGCTATGGGGAGAGTGCGGGGGAGTGGGGTTGATCAGGGCTATGGGGAGAGTCCAGGGGAGTGGGGTTGATCAGGGCTATGGGGAGAGTGCGGGGGAGTGGGGTTGATCAGGGCTATGGGGAGAGCGCGGGGGAGTGGGGTTGATCAGGGCTATGGGGAGAGAGCGGGGGAGTGGGGTTGATCAGGGCTATGGGGAGAGCGTGGGGGAGTGGGTTGATTTGGAAGCTCTTTTCAAAGAGCAGCACAGATATGGTGGGCCGAATGGCCTCCTTCTGTGCTATATAATTCTCTGATCTGAGGGCTGAGCTGGAGGCATTGACCAGGGGGCATTACTCAAGCACAAATCAGTTGAGGATGGAGTTAACTCCCACATGTATACGGATGACACCCAACTCTACCTTTCCTCCTCTACCCTCAACTCCACGACCCCCGATGTCCTGACAGCTGTCTGTCCGACATTGAGTCCTGGACGAGAGACAACTTTCTTCAGCTCAACGTGCGCAAAACTGAGGCCCTCCTGATTGGCTCACGTCAGCGCCTCCGCACCTCAGGCGCTGACAGCATCAGCTCCAAACCGCACTCTCCACCTCTCAAAGCCATCAGGAACCTCGGGGTTCTGTTCGACCCTGAGCTGTCCTTTCTCCCTCATATCCGCACCACAACTGGCACCGCCTTCCATCACCTCCGGAACATCGCAGACTACGGCACTACCTCACCCCTCACGCGGCTGAAACTCTGGTCCACACCTTTATCAGCTCAAGGCTGGACTATGGGAACTCTCTCCTCGTCGGCCTTCCCGGCCCTCCCTCCACACTGCAGGTCATTCAGAACTCTGCAGCTCGTGTACTGTCCCACAGCAGACACCGCGCCCACATCACTCCCACCCTCACCCTCACCATCGCCCTCACCCTCACCATCGCTCGCCTCCACTGGCTCCCCATCCCCCAGAGGATCGAATTCAAGATCCTCATCCTCACCTACAAGGCCATTCACGGCCTCAACTCCCTCCTACCTCTCTGACCTACTATCCCCCTACCTACCTGCCCGTACCCTCCGTTCCTCTGGCTCCGGTCTGCTCCACATCCCCCACCCCAACCGCCCTACTATCGGTGGCCGGGCCTTCAGCCTCTCAGCCCCGAGGCTCTGGAACTCCATCCCCCAGTGCCTTCGCCGCTTCCTCCCTTTCCTCCTTCAAGGCCGGTCTCAAGACCTTTCTCTTTGACCTTCAGCCTTCAGCTCCCCTCTCGACTCTCTACTCCCTCCTCACTCCCTCCCTCCCCTCACCCTGACCATTTCCCCCCTCCTTGCTCCCTCCCTTCCCTCCCCTCACCCTGACCATTTTCCCCTCCTCGCTCCCTCCCTCCCCTCCCCTCACACTGACCATTTCCCCAATGCTCGGATCCTGACCCAACTGTGCAGCGCCTTGGGACGTCCTCCCGACGTGAAAGGCGCTCTATAAATGGAATCTTGTTGTTGTTGTTGAGGAGGATAAATCCCTTAAGAACATTATGCAGCGCACGCAGGGCAAGTCTATACCCAGGGAACAGGGCAAAATAAACACAATGCACCAAAATGGATCAGTTGGAAAATACAACTAACAAAAACAAGCAACAAATTGCATTTATACATCAACTTTCATTTTGGGAGGACATTCTAAGATGCTGGACAGTCAAGGGTTTGCACTTGAGCTAGTGGTTGGAGTTAAGACGGGTGAAAGGCATGCAGGATGAGGTGGGATGATGACTGAAGGCACGGTGAAAGAGGAAGGTCTTGAGATGAGCCTTGAAGGAGACAAGGGAGGAGGCGAGGCAAAGGGATTCCGGGATAAAGTTCCAGAGGGTAGGGATAAAAAGACTGATGGCCCAACCGTTGATGGTGGGGACAGCAGAACAGGGGCCCGAAAAGCAGAGGGAGCAGGCAGGTAAGGTAAAATAAAAAGGAGATAAAGAAGAAAAGGACGATTTATCAAGCCAGTAGGTAAAAAGGAGAGAGTTTGGTCTGGTCATGCTTGTTTTTCTTCAAGGAGTAGCCCCACAAACAGTCATGGACTGGTGACCAAATTGTTATTATTTTGAAGGGACTATTACCCTCAGAAAGCGATCCACCAATCAACTAACAACTGGGTTCCTACTTACTGCCAGGTAAACAGAGGCGTTTTAGAGCAAGGAAATTTGCCAAAATTTCGCCATGCCGGGAATCAAACCCAGGTCTCTCGCTTGCAAGATGAGTGCTCTAACCACTGAGCTACAGGACTCCACTGGTGCTATCCTCCTTCGGGGTAGGGGATAAGCAGGGTCTCTTTGGAGCTGAACTTGGGAACAGAATGTAAAAATCGCGCCAGCACTCTGTGGCGGTCTTTATTCCGGTTCCTGAGCCAGGTGGGTCCGCAGTGTTCTAGGGCACTGCTGATGACAGCACAGCCCGGCCTGGCTCATCAGCAGGACCTGGAAGGGCAGAACAGTCACTGGGGGCTGGAAATCTTCCCACTCAGCTCCTATTTACCCTGAAAGCCAAAGCAAAGCCCTAACAGTTAGGATGGTCCTAGCTGGACAAGCAGCAGGAAAACTTGACAGGTAACGATATCAATGACAAGCGGGGTTAGCTGTTTAGACTCCAGCAATTACCCCAGCACATACTTTGGGCCCCCAAGTCTTGGCTCTTGCCAACCTGCGCCTAATACTTTCTGGAATTAGGTAAACAGGATGCGTCCGTCCAGGGAGAGACAGTCCAGCAATCTATCTCTGGGATTTCCACGTGTAGGTGGGATGCATGGATATCTTAGCTTGATTTGGAATGCATGTTGATGGGTTTCCACATGTGTCAAACACCCGGCTGGGCAAAAGAAGAGACAACATGGAATTTCTGGTCATAAAGCATTAACTTAGTTGTGAAAGACGAGACACCAGTTACTTCAGTCAGTTGGCACCTGAAAGATCATCTGATTTAAGTTTTAAAGGGACAGTTATGTTTCCCAATGAGACTAAGGGATTTCCTGCCGGTTAAATAATGAATATGGAGCAAGAGTTTTCTGGTTATGTTGACTGTGAGCATCACAACAACAACAACAAAATTACATTTATAGAGTGCCATCACTTAAAATAGTGATGTTTTATTTAACATTTCTTTGCTACCACAACTTACTGATTAGTGCAACTGCAATTGTCGATCTTACCTTGCATCTGAAGTATGTGAGAGATGTCAAACCCTTGGCTAATTCTGAATATAAGCAAACCATATTCAAAATCAAACGCATCGCTGGAAGCAAAAATGGTAAGTCAGTTATATCTCAAAACACATACATGGATACATTTCAATCTCACAGTTTAAATTAATTTAGCTCATAATATTTTGCATTTTTTCAAATGTAAATAGTAATTTTACAGAAATAAAATTACAGTAATTAAGTTTCTTATTAAAAGAGGAGCAAACAAACTAGGCCAATTCTTTCTCCACAAATTACTCCTAGCTACAAAATTGTATTTGACCTGAATGTGGAATCCATGTTTTCCTCTGTTCCTCGTGACCCACCTGCTCAGCTGAGGCTTCTTTACTGATGTGTTACAGGGAGGAGCCAAGTGGGTACTGAGGCAACTCCATTTAACACAGGTGCTTTGAAACTTCCCTGGGAACTAATCTGGAGCCAACTGACTCCCAAGAAAGTGGAGTACCAGAGGAAACATCCCCATTTCCTGAGGTGGAATAGTGGAGTCCTGTAGCTCAGTGGTTAGAGCACTTGCCTCGCAATCGAGAGAACTGGATTCAATTCCCGGCAGGGTGAAACGTTGGGCAAGTTTCCTTACTCCACACACCTGATAATAATCCCTCAAGAAAATAATAAATTGGTAATTTCAATCCACAACTGTTTGTGGGACACTGCTGTGTGCAATTGGCTGCCGCATTTCGTCCACAAATATACAGTCAATTCACTTTACAATCTTATGTGAAGCGCTTTGAGACGTCAAGAAGATGTGAAAAGCGCTATATCAAGTGCAAGGATTATTATTATTATTATTTCCAGAACCATGTGATACAGTACATAGGTAGTTCAAGACATATGTGCATCCGACCGCCAGGAAAGTGGAAGGAGAACTAAATGGACTTTGGTCTTTTTTTCAATCTAACATTTCTTATGTCCTATGTCAGAGTACCTACATTAATTAAGACACAACTGGTTATCCCACAACTGTAGCCCTGGAAGAGTGGAACAGCTGCAGAATGAAAATAAAAAGTCTGTTCTGTGCTTCTTAGGGATCAAGCAGCCTTTTTCTTCTAGAAGTACTTTGAACAGAAGTCCCCCCCCCACTAATTTCCTCTCCTTTTATTATATCTAAACAATAGTTTTCGTCAGAGATGAATTTTATATGATTTGTTCACCATGAAAAATATAGTGAAAAAATGAAGACCTGATCTTGCCATATTTTTAGTAAACTAAATGTCTGCCTCCAAATGTCAAATAACCCTAAATCAAACAGTAAAAAGCACTTACTGTAAAATGCCAATGTAAGTCTCAACATCCTGAGGACTGGTATTACGCCAATCTTTTTTGTATCCAATCACTAGAGTATTGGGCTTCATTCGACCCAATCCAGAAGCCTAAAGAAATAATAGAAAGATGTTTGTTTAATTGGATATGTTTCCGGTAACGATTGTTTAAATAGTTTGGCATATTCCATCAATAAGTCTCCTGCCTGATTTTTTTGCCTTTTTCGTGACATAAAGTTATTTTATTGCACAGTTGATCTGAAAGCCCAATATCTTCATATTAAATTTTGATATAGTCATATCACATTGAATCCCAATCTTCTCCATTCTGTTTAGGAGGTTCCTGCACAAAGAACACTCAAACTTCAACAAGAAACACAAAGAAGATTAAAAAAAAAGACCATTGTTATTTGAAATTAACCTGAATTCAACTACTTCAGAGAATTTTTAAATCAAAACTTCTTCTTTACAAAACAGGTTAAAAATATCCAAAATTAAGTCAAACCTTCAAATTATTAAATGATTTGCTGCTTTTTTGCCAATTAGTACAGTTCTATCTCTTCACAGGGAATTTACTGAGTTTAATGAAATCCATTGCTTCACTTTAGTGAGTATAAAAATACTCCCGATTCCACTTATTTTCAACATATTACACAATACAAGGGAGGCAAGATATAATTAGATTTTATAGTTAAGTGTTGAGTGCAATACCCACAGTGCCTTCAGGATTTGAGGTCACAGCAAGAGACAGGGCTGAGTAATAAAAGGCAAAATACTGCAGAAATCTGAAATAAAAACAGAAATCACTGGGAATCACTTTACAGTCTATTCTGTGAAGCACTTTGAGATGTCGAGAAGACGTGAAAAGCACTATATCAAATGCAAGAATTATTATTATTATTTAACACTCAGCAGGTCAGACAGCAACTACGGAGAGAGGAAAGTGTTATTGACCTGAAAAGTTAACTCACTTTCCTCTCTCAATAGATGCTGCCTGACTTGCTGACTTTATATTAGGGCTGAATAACCTGAAGTAAACTCTTTACTCCATCGCGTAGGTTGTCTCCTGCCACCGCAGCATAGAAGGCTTTCTTTTTGTGCTTTGCCAGCCAGTTCTGATATTTCTCCATGCTCATGTTAATTTCACTTACAGTTTGCTTCTGTGAACCCTGAACAGAAAACACAGGGAAACAAGTGTATAACAAAATACATTTGTATAGTGCCTTTGCCGTCGGGACAATGTGCTAAGGCACTGGACAGTTAGGAATTTGGACCCGATCAGGGGGTTGGGATCAGGCGGTGGTGGGCAGGCAGGGTATGGGTAAGAGGGTGGCCAAAGGCACGGTCGAAGATGAGGGTCTTGAGACATGCCTAGAAGGAGGCGAGGGAGGGAGTAAGACTGTGGGATGGAGTTCCAAAGGGTGGTGGCAGAGAGGATGAAAGCCAACCACCGATGGTGGGGCAGGCCGGAGCCTGCTAAGCGGAGGGAGCGGACAGGTTGACATTGGGCTGGCAGGTCACAGAGGTAAGGAGCAAGGCCGTGGAGGGCCTTAAGAGTGGTAGGGGTTCCTGGGGAGAATAAACTCCAGCACAGAGGACTTGAGCTGATGGCCATACCCTTCTATGTAATACACATGTGAACTATAATATTTTTGTATATTTCAGGAAATCAATTACATAGCTATGAGTGATATGGCACAGAAACAGGCCATTCAGCCCAAATACATGTCATTTTGAAACCATTTTTTTTCTATAAATTATTTTAAAATTCCCCGGATTGTACCAAGTATCCAAGATACTGCATATACATACTAAGTAAATCTGGATTCAGGTAAAATGTTTCCAATTGCTCAAAATTGTTATGCACATTTGTAATATAATTACCATAAATACTTGACTACATATGCACAGACTAAAATTCTTGGTAAAAGAAAGTGTCAAATCCAATAAAGCTGGTCTGGACACAGGTGATCCCGTCAATACGATGCACTGTGGCCTAAAAGAAAAATTACAGTAATTACTTTTCCAGGTAAGGTTCATGAATTTATAAATATTTCTGAAAATGATCCTGAAGATTTTCTGGGATACAAATTCTTGCAACTTGATTAGTATCGTTCTAGAGAACTTTTTTTTACATAAAGTTATTTTTGTTTCATTTTTCAATGCTATCCAAATGTTATTACTGTCCAAATCTGATCAAAGGACATTCTGAAAAATTATTATGAAAAAATAACAAATAGTACCATATTAAGTTTACAAAAGGCTGTAAAAAAAAATCATTGTTATTTGAAATTAAGCTGAATTCAACTTCTTCAGAGAGTTTTTAAGTCTTTCTCTCCGATGTCTACCTTCGACATACCTGAAGTTCTTAATATGATCATTCACCCCAGTCAATGAAAGGGCATCTTGAAGCGCAGTGACATAAGACATGGCCTGTGCTGAAGATCCCCAATTCACCTCTGTCAAATAGAGTATTGTAAAGTAAGCACAATCTGAAGCAATGATACTCTTACAGTATCAGATTGCAACTGAGCTTTTTTTTAATAGTAAATTATAACTTATTAAATGAAGTATGGAACTGAAGCCTATTACTGACACTAAAGTGCTCGACTGCAGTTAAAATTACAGTTAATATTCACTCACAGCTATCCACACAGGGCAGTTAGACCGTCGTTGGCAGATAATCTAGGGAGGAAAACTAGCTGCAACACAATCTCTTGGCACAGGAATCAAATATATTTTTTTGTGAGACTAAGAGATTTTGGGGCAAGGGGGCAGGAGGGAAAAAAAACTTAGGTACATAAAATTTAATATGAATATTCTAAAAAATAACTTCAATTTTTTTTAGTGCTCTTCATGTTGGATAATGTCTCAGAGTGCTTCACAAGGACAGGGTCAGGACCAAGCAATAATAACTTGCATTTATATAGCATCTTTCACGCAGGACAGGGCCTCAGAGCACGGTACAGTGGTGGGGTTCAACGCACTTGTGCTCGGCCCCTCAATTTGGCATATTCGGGCCTCCTGAGTTTCCCTCGCCTTCTCCGTGCCATCATCAATGGCTGAGTCTAAACCTCTGGAATACCTTACCTTTATCTGTCTTGATCCATATCTATCTGTTTTAAAAACCCACCTAAAAACCTACCTTTTCATATGAAGATTAAAGTCTTAAGGTGGGATTTAAATATAAAGAGAGAAAAGTGGAGGGGTTGACTCAAGGAGTTTCAGAGGTTAGGGGAGCAGCAACAGAGAACAGGGAGAGAGGTGGAGATGATAGTCATTGTCAGAGGTAGGCTTCCTTCATGTCCTCCCCCACACCATCTGCCCCACCATCGCCATTTGCCCCCGCTCTCTGGAGCTCCATTCATGGAGTCACTCCAACTTGTCCCCTCCCCTCTTTCAGAGCACATTAACACCTAACCCTTTGACCGCGCTTTTAGTCATCTGTTCCCCCTCCCCATCCCACCTCCCTCGGCTTCCACCTCCATCTCAGGTGCCCAGCCAGCAGTATCGAGCTAAGGCGCTGCGTAAATGTTGCTTATATGGCCTGCGGACCTTTCTCAAATAGGGTATCAGGTGCACGTCAGCCAAAAGGTTGGTCCCCGCTGAGCTAAGCTGTCACTCTAATGCAGTGCTGGGGCTGCTTTGTTGGAGGTGCCGTCTTTCAAGCTAGACTTTAAACCGAGGTCCTGTCTGTCTGTTCAGGGGGCCATTAAAGATCTCATGGCACTATTTGAAAAGAGAGGGAGTTTCGCTCAGTGTCCTGGCCAACAATCCTCCAAATAAATTGGCAATTCAGTTCTTTTACTGGGACATTGCTGTGCGCAAATTGGCTGCCACATTTGCCGACAAAACACATGGTCATTGCAATTTATATAACCTATGAAGTGTTTTGAAATGTCCTCCCGACATGAAAGGCCTATACTAAAGGTCAGGAATATTATTATTACAGGTAGGGCAAGGGCAGGCACTGTGGCCACGATAAAGAAAATCAGTCTTGGCTAGGGACTGAATGTGAGGAAGGATTATTATTCTAATAATAATTTGTTATCTCGTTTCAATCTTTGAAACTGAAAAACATGTTACTGTTTAGTTTTAACAGGATTTACATTAAACAAATACAGGGACCTATGAACATGACATTAAAATTCTGATTATTCTGTAATTTGAAGGGAGAAGCAAAATCTCTTACCAGGTTTCTTGTAAGTCACATATATATAAAGGAAGAGTACAATTGCAACTGTGATTACAGCTGCCCACCAGTTAATAACAAACATCACAGCACAGCACAAGACAGCTCCAAACAGCGATACCCACATGTTGTAAAATTTAAATGCTGGTCGCCACCCTGTTAAAACATCAGTTATAGAAAGCATTTACATTTTAAAATCAGAGGTCTTAGAAACATCACAAATATAAAAATATGCATCCAAAATTGAGCTGAACTAAACAATCAATAAAAAAATGCAGAATAATGGTTAGGCCTCAGCTCGAGACTGTGCTCACTTCTGGGCCCCACACTTTGGGAAGGATGTCAAGGCATTGGAGAGGGTGCAGAGGAGATTGACCAGGATGGTACCAGGAATGAGGGACTTCAGTTATCAGGAGAGGCAGAGAAGCTGGGATTATTCTCCTTGGAGCAGAGAAGGTTAAGAGGTTAATAGAAGTTTTCAAAATGATGAGGGGATTCGATAGGGTGAACAAGGAGAAACTATTCCCACTGGCGGGTGGGTCGGTAACCCGAGGAACCATTTAAAATAGTTGTTAAAAGAAACAGAGGAGAGGTGAGGAGAAATGTTTTCACACAGCGAGTTGTTGGGATCTGGAATGCATTGCCTGAAAGGCCGGTGGGAACCGATTCCATAACGGCTTTTAAGAGAGAAGCAGATAATTATTTGGGGAGGACAAGTTTGCAGAGCTATGGGGAGAGCGCGGGGGGGAGTGGGGTTGATCAGGGCTATGAGGAGAGCGCGGGGGAGTGGGGTTGATCAGGGCTATGGGGAGAGAGCGGGGGAGTGGGGTTGATCAGTGCTATGGGGAGAGAGCGGGGGAGTGGGGTTGATCAGGGCTATGGGGAGAGAGCGGGGGAGTGGGGTTGATCAGTGCTATGGGGAGAGAGCGGGGGAGTGGGGTTGATCAGGGCTATGGGGAGAGCGAGGGGGAGTGGGGTTGATCAGGGCTATGGGGAGAGAGCAGGGGAGTGGGGTTGATCAGTGCTATGGGGAGAGAGCGGGGGAGTGGGGTTGATCAGGGCTATGGGGAGAGAGCGGGGGAGTGGGGTTGATCAGGGCTATGGGGAGAGAGCGGGGGAGTGGGGTTGATCAGGGCTATGGGGAGAGAGCGGGGGAGTGGGGTTGATCAGGGCTATGGGGAGAGAGCGGGGGAGTGGGGTTGATCAGGGCTATGGGGAGAGCGGGGGAGTGGGGTTGATCGGCTATGGGGAGAGAGCGGGGGAGTGGGGTTGATCAGGGCTATGGGGAGAGAGCGGGGGAGTGGGGTTGATCAGGGCTATGGGGAGAGAGCGGGGAGTGGGGTTGATCAGGGCTATGGGAGAGAGCGGGGAGTGGGATTGATCAGGGCTATGGGGAGAGGCGGGGAGTGGGGTTGATCAGGGCTATGGGGAGAGAGCGGGGGAGTGGGGTTGATCAGGGCTATGGGGAGAGGGGGGAGTGGGGTTGATCAGGGCTATGGGGAGAGAGGGGGGAGTGGGGTTGATCAGGGCTATGGGGAGAGAGTGGGGGAGTGGGGTTGATCAGGGCTATGGGGAGAGAGTGGGGTTGATCAGGGCTATGGGGAGAGAGTGTGGGAGTGGGGTTGATCAGGGCTATGGGGGAGAGGAGTGGGGTTGATCAGGGCTATGGGGAGAGAGTGGGGGAGTGGGGTTGATCAGGGCTATGGGGAGAGAGGGGGAGTGGGGTTGATCAGGGTATGGGGAGAGGGGGGGGGGGGGGGGGGAGCAGGCTATGGGGAGAGTGGGGGAGTCAGGCTATGGGGAGAGAGTGGGGGAGTGGGGTTGATCAGGGCTATGGGGGAGAGGGGGGAGTGGGGTTGATCAGGGCTATGGGGAGAGCGGGGGAGTGGGGTTGATCAGGGCTATGGGGAGAGAGTGGGGGAGTGGGGTTGATCAGGGCTATGGGGAGAGAGTGGGGGAGTGGGGTTGATCAGGGCTATGGGGAGAGAGCGGGGGAGTGGGGTGATCAGGGCTATGGGGAGAGAGTGGGGGAGTGGGGTTGATCAGGGCTATGGGGGAGAGAGCGGGGGAGTGGGGTTGATCAGGGCTATGGGGAGAGAGCGGGGGAGTGGGGTTGATCAGGGCTATGGGGAGAGAGTGGGGGAGTGGGGTTGATCAGGGCTATGGGGAGAGAGCGCGGGGGAGTGGGGTTGATCAGGGCTATGGGGAGAGAGCGGGGGAGTGGGGTTGATCAGGGCTATGGGGAGAGAGCGGGGGAGTGGGGTTGATCAGGGCTATGGGGAGAGAGGGGGGAGTGGGGTTGATCAGGGCTATGGGGGGAGAGCGGGGGAGTGGGGTTGATCAGGGCTATGGGGAGAGAGCGGGGGAGTGGGGTTGATTTAGGGATAGCTCTTTTCAAAAAGCCGCCCTAGACACGATGGGAAGAATGGACTTCTTCTGTGCGTTATAATTCTATGAATAAAGATGTAGTATGACTTCCACAAAAAGTACCAATTCCTAATCAATTCCAAGACAACATACAAAAACTTTTCGTTTGGGTTCTGTCACATCCACACCACAATCCAACAGTTTAATAAATACTGACCTGGAGATTTTGAATATGAAGCATGAAAACATGAAAAATTGATGAGTGCATACGAAGCCAAGAAGAAGTTTGAGATAATGGGAGCAATAGTGTTCAGTTCAGCTAAAAAAATAACATAACCATCAGTGATTACATGTCAGAATTCCCGAGAGTGCCTTACAATGAGCAGAATATGTTCATAGGAATAATAATCCTTGCATTTGATAGAGCACTTTTCTAGACGTCTTCTAGCAGTGGGCACAGCAGTGTTTCACAAACAGTCGTGAATTGAGTGACCAAATTACTATTTGTTTATTCAATTTTCTTGAAGGATTATTAGTAGGCGTGTGGAGTAAGGAAACTTGCCCAAGGTTTCACCCTGCCGGCAATCAAACCCAGGTCTCTCGCTTGTGAGGCGACTGCTCTAACCACTGAGCTACAAGACTTCAAGTCCTGTATACACTTATAAATAGCACATAGAGTTTTTGAAAATAGCCAAATGTTATTTTTAATTTAAAATGTTCCCATTGATTGGAAGATTGCAAATGTGACACCACTATTTAAGAAGAGTGGGAGAGAAAAGATGGGGAACTATAGACCAGTTAGTCTGACATCAGTGGGAGGGAAAATTCTTGAGTCCTAATTAAGGATGTCATTATGGGATTCCTGGAAGACCATAACAAGATTAGGCAGTCAACATGGCTTTACAAAAGGGCTTAACTAATCTTTTAGAGTTTTTTGAAGATGTATCTGCAGGTTAGAGAGGGGGGAACCAGTAGATGTAGTATATTTAGATTTTAAAAAGGCATTTGACAAAGTGCCACACAAAAGGCTATTGCACAAGGTTAAGGCCCATGGGATTAATGGGAACATATTAGCATGGATTGAAGAGTGGCCAACGGGTAGAAAACAGAGAGTAGGGATAAATGGTCATTCTCGAATTGGCAGGAGATGTGACTAGTGGAGTGCCACAAGGATCAGTGTTGGGCCTCAACTATTTACAATTTACATCAATGGTCATTGAATGTAACGTATCTAAATTTTCAGATGACACTAAACTCGGTGGGAGAGTAAGCTCTGAGGATGATGCAAAAAGATTGCAACGGGATATAGATAGGCTTGGGGAGTGGGCGAGTAGGTGGCAGATGGAATTTAATGTGGGAAGTGGGAAGTTATTCACCGAGGTAGAAAAAATAGAAAAACAGATTATTTTCTAGAGGGGGAGAGATTAGATAGTGTTAAGAGTGCAGAGGGATTTGGGTGTCCTTGTACACCAGTCTCAAAAAGTTAGTTTGCAGGTGCAGCAGCAACTAAGAAGGCGAACGGCAAGTTAGCGTTCATTGCAAAACAACAACAACAACAAGATTCCATATATAGAGCGCCTTTCACGTCGGGAGGACGTCCCAAGGCGCTGTACAGTTGGGTCAGGACCCGAGCAAGGGGGAAATGGTCAGGGTGAGAGGAGGGAAGGGAGGGAGCGAGGAGGGGGAAAATGATCAGGGTGAGGGGAGGGAAGGGAGGGAGCGAGGAGGGGGTAGAGAGTCGAGAGGGGAGCTGAAGGCTGAAGGACAAAGAGAAAGGTCTTGAGACCGGCCTTGAAGGAGGAAAGGGAGGAAGCGGCGAAGGCACTGGGGATAGAGTTCCAGAGCCTCGGGGCTGAAGGCCCGACCACCGATGGTAGGGCGGTTGGGGCGGGGGATGTGGAGCAGACCGGAGCCAGAGGAACGGAGGGTACGGGCAGGTAGGTAGGGGGATAGTAGGTCAGAGAGGTAGGAGGGAGCGAGGCCGTGAATGGCCTTGTAGGTGAGGATGAGGATCTTGAATTCGATCCTCTGGGGGATGGGGAGCAGTGGAGGCGAGCGAGGGTGAGGGTGAGGGCGAGGGTGAGGGTGAAAGCGAGGGTCAGGGTGAGGGTGGGAGTGATGTGGGCGCGGTGTCTGGTGCGGGACAGTACACGAGCTGCAGAGTTCTGAATGACCTGCAGTGTGGAGGGAGGGCCGGGAAGGCCGACGAGGAGAGAGTTCCCATAGTCCAGCCTTGAGGTGATAAAGTGTGGACCAGAGTTTCAGCCGCGTGAGGGGTGAGGCAATGCCGTAGTCTGGCGATGTTCCGGAGGTGATGGAAGGCGGTGTCAGTTGTGGTGCGGATATGAGGGAGAAAGGACAGCTCAGGGTCGAGGGGAACCCCGAGGTTCCTGATGGCTTTGAGAGGTGGAGAGTGCGGAGCTGATGCTGTCAGCGCCTGAGGTGCGGAGGCGCTAACCTGAGCCAATCAGGAGGGCCTCAGTTTTGCGCACGTTGAGCTGAAGAAAGTTGTCTCTCGTCCAGGACTCGATGTCAGACAGACAGCTGTCAGGACATCGGGGGTCGTGGAGTTGAGGGTAGAGGAGGAAAGGTAGAGTTGGGTGTCATCCGCATACATGAGGGAGTTAACCCCATGTCTGCGGATGATGTCACCACAGGGGGAGCATATAGAGGGTGAAGAGGAGGGGACGGAGGACAGAGCCCTGAGAGACACCACACGAGACAGTGCGGGGGGTGGAGGAAAAGCCATTCGTGGAAATAAAGTGAAGACGGTGGGAGCGGTACGACCTAAACCACTCAAGGACAGGGCCTTGAAGGTTGAGGTGGGAGGACAAGCGGTGGAGGAGGATAGCGTGGTCGACCGTATCGAATGCTGCCGATAGGTCGAGGAGGCAGAGGGAGCCCTGGTCACAGATGGTCAGGATGTCATTGGTGACCTTGACCAGGGCGGTTTCTGTGCTATGAGCAGCACGGAAACCCGACTGAAGGGGTTCGAATAATGAATGGGTGGAGAGGAAAGAGCGCAGCTGAGAGGTTTAGAGTACAAGAGTAGGGAAGTCTTGCTGCAACTGTATAGGGCTTTGGTGAGACCGCCCCGAGAGTATTGTGTGCAGTTTTGATCTCCTTATTTAAAAAAGGACATACTTGCCCTCGAGGGGGTGCAGCGTAGATTCACTCGGTTAGTTCCTGGGATGAGGGGACTGACCTATGAGGATAGGCTGAATAAACCAGGGCTGTATTCTCCAGAGTACAGAAGAATTAGGGGGGATCTTATTGAAACATATAAGATTCTTAAAGGGCTGATAAAGTAGACACTGAGGGTCTGTTTCCCCGGTGGGAGAATCTATAACCAGGGGTCACAGTCTTAAAATTAAGGGTCAGCCTCTTAGAACAGAGTTGAGGGAACATTTCTTCACTCAGAGGGCAGTGAACTTATGGAATCCACTCCCCCAGAAGGCTGTAGATGTCAGTCCTTGAACATCTTCAAGGCTCAGACTGATAGATTTTTAAAAAATAGAGGGATTAGGGGATATGGGGATAGGGCAGGTAATCAGAGTTAGGTCAGAAGATCAGCCATGATCTTATCGAATGGCGGGGCACAGGCACGAAGGGCCGAATGGCCGTCTCCTGCTCCTAATTCTTATGTTCTTAAAATGTTTGAACAATTATGTTAATCCCTCTGCCAATGCATCACAGCGATATAATGTTGATGACGTTCCAAATATTGATCCTCTCTTTGTCAGATTATGGTTGTTGACTCAGACCGTGTTCTTGCTCATTTGACAATTTAGATATTCCCCACTGTGAAGTAATACGCGAGTTGTTCATCTGTTGATGTTAATCACTCAAATACGAACAACTCTCACATTACATTAACCCTATGCTTTCCTCTCTCATCAAAATCATATTACAGTAAGATACCTACAAATCCTCTTGTGTATTGTGACTAAGTACAGGATATAATGGAACATGAAACTGGATGTGAAACCAGAGCTTTAAATACGAAAATGTGTTGCCGAGATAGCCTCTGCCTTTCTACTCACAGACCCTGATCGTATAAAAAGCAATGCATCCTGTAGGTTCAATTATGTGGCTGTTCCTATCATTGAAATCTCACAAGCCTTACATGCATTCTATTGAAGGCATTTCACCAGTAAACAACAAGCAGCAAGTATTACATTAATAGGAAGTCAAATCCACAAGTCGAATGTGAGACTGGCTTCACCAGGGGCCATCACCGTATATTCACGGTGTTTAACATCAAATACTGCTAACTGTTTATTACTGTATATCTGTTTGGGTTCCATAAAATCCATAATTATCCTGGAGTGAGGCAAGACAGCAGGTTTGATGGGCCTGCACACAGCCAGCTGACTTGTATGTACAGGCCAGTTCCTGAGCTAAATTAAAAATAGCCAACCTCTGGGTCATTGCCAGCTTCACTTTCTGTTTCCTGCATACGCACAAAGCAACCTGATGACCCAGAAGTTGATCTTTTTCGTGCAAGAAGCTAAAACGTTCAACTTCCATTAGGTGGCCGCTGACCTCATCGTCTGCTCTCCTTAGTCGCAGTAAAGCAGGAATGACAATGACAGCCACTTAATAAGCCAAGATCTTTAATGACCATCTGAACAGGCAAGTCCCACAATGGACTTTGTTCATATCAAGCTTGCCTCTGAATTGGAAGGTTGTGGGTTTAAGCCCCATGTAGGGATGAGCTTTGCCTATGAAGCCTAGCTGACACGTCAATACAGGTCTGTGCCTCTGCTTCATTGTTGCACATCCCATCCTTTGGATTAGAGGTTGCACCAAAGTACCATCTGTGCCATCTATGAGTTCAAAATCCTTTTGTGGGGTTTGCCATACGTCCTGAACTCGTTTCATAGAAACCATAAAAACTTACAGCATAGAAGGCCATACAGCCGACCATATATATTTAAACAACAAGATTACATTTGTATAGCGCCTTTCACGTCAGGAGGACATCCCAAGGCGCTGGACAATGTACAGCATTTCAGACCCGAGCTGGGGTCAGTGGGGGAGAAGAGAGGGGAGGGGAAGAGGGGTGGCCGATGGCATGGTCGAAGAGGAGGGGCTTGGGGCGGGACTTGAAGGAGGCTAAGGAGGGGCGAGGCAGAGTGATTGGGGGATGGTATTCCAGAGGTTAGGGGCAGAGTGGCTGAAGGGCTCTCCCGCAAATGGTGGAGCGGGGGACGTGGAGCAGGCTGGGCGGGTGGGAACTGAACCAGTGGACAAAGAGAGGTTGATGATGTCGGACAGGAGAGGGGCAGAGAAGGTGGAGCTGGGAGATGAGGAGAGAGGTGGGGATGGGATCGAGGGAGCAGGGAGCAATTGCCCTGTAATTATATTCTGTACTCATACACACAAGTAAACAGTTCACACTGCATATTGTTCTAAAGACCGAGCTTGTTCACTTCAATGACATTTTAAACAGATTTTCTGTTCAAAATGGAAGTTTGAGTTTAAGAATTTATGAAATAATTTGTTTAAATTACACATGCATTGGCCAAACTGCTCTTTATAGAACTAAGGAGAGAATGTTTCTGATAGACTTGACCACTTCAGCTAATGATTTCTTAAACTTATTTGAAGTTATACAAGATTCTGAGTTGAGGTGAAACGCAAGTTACAGCTAATACAGTATTCCTGTAATAGATAGTGATATGATTGAACATCAAATGACCTACAACCATTGTTTTGCTCAACAAGACTTTTAAAGCAAAATACATATTTTTTATATAATATAAACTTACCGACCAGAATAAATGCAACAGCAATAAAAAAGGTTAATATGTAGCTTCTAATTGGCTCATCATTCTTCCCATATCCTTTGCCAAAGAAATGCAGCCCTTGGTAAAGGTTATCTTTACAAAGAGCCTGTAGATAAAAAGATTTGATTATTTACAGCAGATAAGAATATAGCTGTTTTCAGAAAGACAAAAATCAACTTAGCAGGTGGCAAAAGATTAGAGATAGTCTATCATTGGCATACAGTGTTGGATAACCTCAACCTTTGATTTGGATCATATGTTACTCCGTACTCTTGTGATCCAAACCATGCTTGGGCTAAGACCAGCCTCCAACCCACAGCAAGCGTAGAAACCTATTGTGCGTCACAGAAATACAAGGTGCTAAAACCTGCAATTCCGTTTCCAGGACATTAGATTTGTTTAGGTCCACAATACTTACTTTTATCAGTATAGTGTAATAAAGACGATTAGCCACATTAATTGGGACCGACTCAGTGCAGATAAACACTGGACATCACACAAAATATAAATTAGCTATAGTGTTATGTTAAAAAGTAGTTATATCACATAGCGACTGTATAACTACTTTGTTACTTAGCACTATATTCTGTACATTACTCTCCTCTCTCCACCAATCCCTCACTGACAGTCACCCGTTCACCCTCTGTTCTGCCACCCCTCCCCCCCACCCCTTCTCCTGCCACCCCTCCCCCCCACCCCTTCTCCTGCCACCCCTCCCCCCCCACCCCTTCTCCTGCCACCCCTCCCCCCACCCCTTCTCCTGCCACCCCTCCCCCCACCCCTTCTCCTGCCACCCCTCCCCCCCACCCCTTCTCCTGCCACCCCTCCCCCCCACCCCTTCTCCTGCCACCCCTCCCCCCCACCCCTTCTCCTGCCACCCCTCCCCCCCCTTCTCCTGCCACCCCTCCCCCCCTTCTCCTGCCACCCCTCCCCCCCTTCTCCTGCCACCCCTCCCCCCCTTCTCCTGCCACCCCTCCCCCCTTCTCCTGCCACCCCTCCCCCCCTTCTCCTGCCACCCCTCCCCCCCTTCTCCTGCCACCCCTCCCCCCCTTCTCCTGCCACCCCTCCCCCCCTTCTCCTGCCACCCCTCCCCCCTTCTCCTGCCACCCCTCCCCCCTTCTCCTGCCACCCCTCCCCCCCCCTCCCCCCCCCCCCTTCTCCTGCCACCCCTCCCCCCTTCTCCTGCCACCCCTCCCCCCTTCTCCTGCCACCCTCCCCCCCCACCCCTTCTCCTCTGCCACCCCTTCCCCCTTCTGATAAGAGTTAACTTTCTACAGTTGAACGTCAACAAGACTGAGGCCCTCCTGATTGGCTCCCATCAGCGCCTCCTCACCTCAGGCACTGACAGCTTCACTATCCAAGGAATCACACTCCCCCTCCCTGAGCCAGTCCGGAGCCTTGGCATCTTGTTTGATCCTCAACTGTCCTTTCTACCCCAAATCCATGCCATGACTCGCTCTGCCTTCCCCCACCTCCGCAACATCACCCGGCCCTGCCACTGCCTCACCCCTCAGGCCCCCGAAACCCTCATCCATGCATTCATCACATCCAGGCTCGACTACACCAACTCCCTGCTTGTCGGCCTCCATTGGCTCCCCATCCCCTAGAGGATAGAGTTCAAAATCCTCGTCCTCGCCTTCAAGGCCTTGCCCCTCCCTATCTCTGCAACCTGCTGACCCCCATATGGTCCTGTCTGCTCCCTTCGCTCAGCAGGCTATGGTCTGCTTCATGTTCCCTGCCAGGCCCACCACCATCGGCAGCCGGGCCTTTAGCCTTTCTGCCCCCACCTATGGAACTCTATCCCACATTCCTTTCACCTCGCTCCCTCCCTTGCCTCCTTCAAAGAGCATCTCAAACCTTCCTCTTTGACCGAGCCTTCGGCCACTCTCCTACCCTACCCACTCCCCAGCTCAGGTCCAAATCCTTGACTGCCCAATGCCTTAGGACATCCTCCTGACATGAAAGGCACTATACAAACGTAATTTTGGATTTGTATTCTCTCAAATTTAATACAATTTTAATTCCCTCACCAGGAGGAAACATTTTTCTCCCCAGACCACAGCCATCGCTTTTGAATTACATCGCTTTTTCTGGGGAATTAAATTCTATGATTGTATGACTTACCTGGAAGATTTTAGGTGCACTGACTAGTGATGCTAAGGCAGAAGAGAGTGTCGCTGAAAAGATTCCTGCAGTGATGAGTGGACCAAATCCAGATACCATACTCATCACCTACAAAACCATAAGAATAATGTAAGAGTAAAACTCGCATAAGTCTTATCTTTACAAATTCTATAATCCCTAAGATGAACATTCACCATTCCCATCCACTTTCCTAACAAAATTACTTAATTTCTTTGCAGTAGTTGTACTAATTATTCCTAACTCTTAACTATGCTCCCCTGCCCTCCATTACTTTCACACTTACCAGCTGCAATGAATTGCGAGAAACACAGTCTTGATCTTTCGACGCATGTGCAGAAAAACTTCATTTCCAACGATTCAATGGTAAGTGAACATGTAACAATGGGTCAAGATACTGAATCGTGGGAAATGTAGTCTTGCCCTGTCACACATACACACTTACCAGCTGCAATGATGCGCACTTTCCGACTATAATAACAATCCTTGCATTTGATATAGCACCTTATCATATCATTGAGATGTATCAAAGCGCTTCACAGACACTCGTGGATTGAGTATCCAGATTTTCTTTTTTATAGGGATTATTATTATAGACAACACTGAATTATGTCCGTGCAGTGTAATTATTGATTAAATTCGCCCACAAATATACCGTCAATTTATTTTAGTTTATTCTGTGAAGTGCTTTGAGATGTCTCGAAGACGTGAAAAGCTCTTCATCAAATGCAAGTATTATTATTATTAAATTGGATTTTATACAAAATATAGTTTGCCTACCACTCGGACTTGGCGCGAGTCATATTAAATGTTGTGGTCCCGACTGATACGACTTATGAGTTTACAATAGAATCAAATAATTCTTTCTCAAAGTACCTTAGAAATACTGTCTAATGAAAGGCAAAATTCACAGCTGTTAAAATTCTGTAGGATTGAAAGCGCACCATTACAAGCTTACCCACTGATTCAAATGATCCTTCCTACAACAAACTAAAAAGTAGGGAGCCTCTAAATATCTGCAAAATTAAAAATGTTCCCCATAAAAAAAATTAAGTCCTAACTGATGGGTAATTACCTGAAAGTTATTCATCAGACCAAAATTACAAGTCTTTGTGTTACAGGCAGAAAAATCATATCCCAGAGAACAGGCCGCTGAGCCATTGCATCTTGTCGAAGAAGAGATGGTATCATTGGTATTTCCAGTCCCATCACGTACAACAGAAGCACCTGAAAGAAAACAGGAAAATCTGCTTTTGTATCATCCTGTGTCTCTCAGAATCTTTCCCTTTTTTCAACACTATCCGTTACGCTCACCTGTTCTTTCCAATCTGAGCAACAATAATTTAGATGTAAAGGGTCCTTCACGCAGAATAATAAAAAAATGTGGTCACTCAACCCACGACTGCTTGTGGGACGCTACCGTGTGCAATTGGCTGCCGTGTTTTGCCCACAATATATACAGTCAATCCACTTTACAATATATTCTGTAAAGTGTTTTGAGATGTCTCGAAGGCGCTGCATCAAATGCAAGGATTATTATTATATGTCGAAGCACTTTATAGAAGTGCTGGGCACCAAGCAGAGTGGGGTCTGCTCACTCACTCGTTTCCTCTCTTCCCCTTCCCTCTCACTGACTCACTGTTTCATCTCTTTACTGTGTCTGATTCCCTTACGTTATCAAAAACAGAAGTCGCTGGGAACACTCACCAAATCAGGCAGCATCTATGAAGAAAGGAAAGTGAGTTATTTCAGGTCCACAACCCCTCGTCAGAACTGGGGCAGGTTGGGAGGGAGAGGCTTTTAAGGACTAACAGAGAGGGGGGAGGCAGGGCAAGGAAGACAAAGGAGAAAATGGGGTAGAGGACAGGGGATGATGGGTTAATGATGTAAAACAAAGGGGAGCGTGGGATTGCAACAAAACGGGGGGAAAGGCCGTTAATAATGCAAAACAGGGGAATTGCAACAAAACAGGCAGACCAGCGAGAGAAAACGTGCGTCTGGGACCCAGGCGATGTGGTAATGGTCACAGAAGAAGGGAGGGGGAAGGTGAGCTGTTATGATCTGAAATTATTGAACTCAATATTGAGGCTAGAGGGCTGTAAGGTCCCTTGCAGATAAATGAGGTGCTGTTCCTCGAGCTTGCGCTGTGGCTCATTGGAACAGTGTAGAAGACCGTGGATGGAGAGGTCAGAGTGCGAGTGGGAGGGAGAGTTGAAGTGGTAAGCAACCGGAAGCTCAGGGCTGTGCTTGCGGACAGAAAGGAAGTGTTCGGCAAATCGGTCACTCAATCTGCGTTTGGTCTCCCCAAAGTAGAGAGGACCATATCGTGAGCAGCATTCCCTCTTCCGTGACCATTACATCATCTGGGTCCCAGACACATGTTTTCTCTCTGGTCTGCCTGTTTTGTTGCAATCCCCCCCATTGCTTTGCATCAACATCTCTTTAACCCATCATCCTTTGTCCTCTACAACATTTTCTCCTTTGTCTTCCAAGACCTGCCTTCCCCTTCTCTGATAGTCCTTAAAAGCCTCTCCCTCCCAACATGCCCCAGTTCTGACGAAGGGTCATGGACTCACTTTCCTCTCTCCATAGATGCTGCCTGACCTGCTAAGTGTTCCCAGCAACTTCTGTTTTTGCTTCAGATTTCCAGCATCTGCACTATTTTACATTTTGTTTCCCTCACTGTATCCTCTGATATGTTCCCAGACACCCCACATGAAGGAGCTGTATAAATGCAAATTGCTGTTATTGTTGTTGACATTCATTGTTTTGTTTTTTGACTCACTCACTCATTACCATTCTCGCTCCTCTCCTCTACTCACTGTCTATTACCTCTAAATCTTCTCTTACTCTCTATTTCTATTTTACTTCTCCATTATCTCCATTAAATTCAGACTCACTTACGCTCTTACCTTACACACTTTGCTCTCAGGCAATTTTCTCTGTTGCAGACATGTTCTCTTGGTAGTGTCCATACATTTTAAATGGGCTTTGCGCATCTGCGAGATAGTTGGAGTAGCTGTGAGTGAAGATGTCAGAATGTGCGCAGGACAGGAGGTTTAGTTCTAGAGTTGCAAGGGAGCACATAGTAAGGATCGCCTTGCTGACATCACTGCCAGCACAATGCATATGATCAGGAAGTACCTGGAAGTGCCATGTTGACTACAGGCCCCCGACCCCCAGAGCATCCTGGAGCTGCTCTGTCTGAATGGAGCCACTCGAAACATAGAAGGCCTGAGTGAGAACAATTAGCGGCGACCAGAACGACTTTTGACCGGATTAACCAGATTTTTTCCAAATCAACCGGCATTTGTAAAACAGATTAGAATATAAATCAACCTGGGCCGGGTGTTTTTTTTATTTAACCGGTGTCCGGCAAAAGTGGATTCCACTATATGTCTGGGAGTGCACCAGGATGCCACCCCGAGTGAAGGGAGTATATAGATGCAAGTTGTTGTTGTACATTCAAATTCACAAAAACTAAGCTAGATGCTAAATAAGTACTAAGGGCAGAAAAAATTTGCAGCAGGCTTCAGATAGATTAGAAAATTACAAATTGGATACTTCTGAATGGGGCAGTTCTGTATTAGGTGGGTTGACCAGGAATTGACAGGGATTATTTTTTGGTTTCTCTCAAATGTCCAGGATAGAATCTTTCTAATGGATCCAAGTCCTTACACAATAAGATGTGAAACATAATTTATATTTTGACACAAGAGTGTGAGTAAATCTGAATGGAACAGAGATAATGCAGAAATGAAATAGAAATAAAAAAATAAGGATGCTAGCCTCTACTGAAATTATCTCTTAAGATTTGAAGCACTGAAACATTGTGTTCGAAAGTTACTATTTCTAAATGTATATTTCGATTTTTATACAATCATTAATCACCTGGTTACTCGCTTAATGAATTAAAGATTATGTTGTTTTATAATAATAAACAATTACTGTACCTGTACAGATGGCAACAGCTATATAAACCATAGCTGTTATGATAATAGCTAACATCGTTCCTTTGGGTATAGCAACCTGTGGATCCTAAAATGATAGTTTCCAGTCAAAGCTTCGATTTAAACTGAACTGTATAATATATTGTCTAAGTAATGAAGATGACATTGGGTCCAGGATGAGGAATATGCATACCTTTAGATCCCCTGAGATGTTAGCACCAGCAAGAATACCAGTGGCTGCTGGGAAAAAGATAGAAAAGACAGAGAAGAAACCTTCTCTATCCTGAAAACGTGGACCAAAATTCTCTGTGAATATGACAGCTGTGTAGATTTAAGCACAAACAGAAAACTAAGTTCAACAAAGGCTCAAAATCAAGTGAAATTAAAATATGAATTCCTCCCACTTTACAAAGCAATACAGATCTTGCCTTGATAATTAAAGAAGCCTCTGGCTCGTTTTTCAGGTGTGCTTGGAATGACTGTCCCGATAAAGAAGTTAACAATACCAATAAGGAGAATTATCAAGAGAATAACTTGAGCCTGAAAAACAGAAAGTACCTTCATGATTTTGTACCAACACATAACATTCACATAATATACATTCACATAACATTCACATCCCACTAAATAACATTGTGCAATACACTCCAAAAACAGAATTGATCTACAATGTATAGTAAGGCATACCTTTGTTTCCCACTCCATACCAGCTACAGTTATACCAAGTAGCACGACTACTGTAATACAGCCTACTATTCGGATATCATTGATTGGATCCACCATGAACGCATCTTTGTCCTACAACATAACAAAAAAATGATTTTCTACAAGTACTAAGAATCCAGCTTATGAACACTATCATACTTCACAAGAATATTAAGAGACTCTTCAAATTTGCTCAACAACAGTGTGCATTTACACAGCTCCCTTTATGTGGGATAGCATCTCGGAGCGCTTTTGATGTTGAGCTAGAAGAAAGGGGAGATGGTCAAAGAGGAAATCTTCAGGGGCATCTGAAAACGGACAAAGGTGGGTTAAGCCACAGGGAATTTCAGAGATTTGGGGCATAGTGCATGAAAGCATGGCCACCAATAGTGGAGTTGAGGGAAAGAGGGACTTGTAGAAGGCCTGGAGCCAGCTGACCAAAGGGGGAAGGAAGGGAGGCATTACCCCATTGATTTAATACGTGGGAGGATCTGGAAATTGATAAGATTTTGCAAAGGGGAGCCAGTGGAGCCTGGCAAAGACTGGGGTGATGGCACAGTTCAGTACGGGTGATGAAAATTAACTAAGTTGTAAATTAGTTAAACCTTGTGAATGGTGGATCTGGGGAGACCGGCCAGGAGTGCATTGGAGAAATCGAGATGGGAGCTGACATTACTCCACTACGATAGCAATATGTACTGTTGTACATTTTTACATTAAAGAATGCTTTCAAAAGCTGCACGTTCTGTTTTAAATTTGATATTTGAAGAAATGTGGCATTACCTTAAGGATACCCACCACAGTCTCTGAAAAACCAACCACATACATGGCCACAGCTACAGCATTAGCAAAGGAGAAGATTAGGCCAATAGATCCACCAAATTCGGGTCCTAAACTTCTAGATATTAGATAATATGCACCACCTTTGATTTAAACGAAAAAAAATTAATCTTAAAATCTAGGAGGGGGTGGGAAAACACATCTCAGTAAGCGGATTACTTCCCTTGATTAACCATTACGTGTGTGAGGTCAACAGAGCTAAATTTCCTGGACTATTATTTAACAGATCAATACTAATTAATGTTTCTGTTTCCAACGCTGTAGTAAGGAAATTGCTATGCATCATTTTGTTTGGAACGGATCAAAATGTACTTTTAGTAAACAGAGTTCTGTGAAACGCAAGTAGGGTGCAGTTGCAATACAATTATTGTATCTCCTAGAGGAAATAATACAGCAGAGGCTTTTTTCAGCATAACTATGAAAAAAGCAGTGCTCTTTGTGGTTATAAACAGCAGTTGTGCTTTGTGCACTCTGGGTACATGGATTTTAGAGAATAGAAATGCTTCTCGATCAGTTAAATAAAACAGCTCAAATTTTGCTCTTGTTGTTCAGGACATCTCAACCTTCATTCAGCTTTCTATCACATTAAAAAATGCGCTTTTGATGTTACGTTAGGTTCTACTTAACTGGATATCCAATTGCATTTAGAAATATCTTTAATGTGTTGGTGGTATAAATGGTAGAAAAGATTGATTTGCTATTTCTTTTAGAAGAGATAAAACAGATCTAGCATGAACTACTAATTACAGAAAAGGCATTCATCTGTGGCTTATATGCAACAGAAATAAATATATTGAGTCGGTTGAACAATGCATGTAGGAATAAAATCCTTAGAAAAAGTAAAGCACACTGATTCCCTGTGAATATTCTACCAGGTAGACAGTTTGGTATACTCGTAGCCATCCTATAGTTTGCCTATACCCACGTTATATATTGAGCTATCTGGGATGTTGGTTGTATGGAATATTAACTTTTCCTTTGTAACATTTTCAACTTTAGAGCTTGTGACTTTCTAAAGCGAAACTTATATTTTTTAAGACATGTTTTACAACTGCTGTAATGCTAGGACTATGTATTATCTTCCCATGACATCTGGATCTCCCTGCTTCCCCCACTGCCCTCGCCTCTCCCCCACCCCGACCCTCAACTTGGGTCCGTAACTCTGTCTGTCCAGCGCCTTGGGACGTCCTCCCGACGTGAAAGGCGCTATATAAATGTAATTTTGTTGTTGTTGTTGTTTATCCTTCAATTCCATTATTCCCCAAACCTCTTCTATCACATATTACCAAGATGTAAAAAAGCACTTAAGCATCTATTCTACAATTCTGTGTCTAGCTATTATTTACAATAGTGCTGGACTTGCTCAGCGTTCAGATGCCGTCTACCCAAAGGTTAACTACTTATATTTGAAATTCTTCCCAACTTTTGCTTAGGAATGGTTGAATTCTAAATACATATCTTTTTCAGACAATCCATTAATTACGAGGCTTTAAATATTCACCAAAGAAGCTTTATTTTACTAAACAAATATGTGACTCTATTGCTATGTTAATCCATGGAAGGTTATACATCTGTTTTCTTATATTAGGGGAGATTAGGTTAATCAAATAGACTGCAAGTCAAACAGAAGACATTCTGCTAATCAAAAATAACTGAATTTTCACATTGTTAAGAGGCAGGAATTTCAAGTCATGTTTTGAGTTATTGCAACAAAAATTGACAAACATATATGCTACTGTTCAGGAAGCAGTCCCTGTATCATTCACCTGGTCAGTGGAAAGAATTATCCGATTACACATTGTGCAGGATCAACTCCCCTACAAGCTATTGGGCAATATCAAGCTATCAAGACAAGCAGAAAAAGCTACAATACAGAAACCTATAAGTGACTTACAAGAAAAATGACATGCATACGGTTTAGCACTACCTATTTCCACCAACTTTTAAAGGATTTCAAAACAAATGGTTATAAAAGTTACACCTCATTATTGCCAAGCAACAAAAGCAATGATTATATGCTTCTGTGCTTTAAAAGCTGGAAATAGAGTTTTTAAATTATCATCACTTTAGGAATTGATTTTTTATTGTTTAATTTCTAATGACATTAAAAGAGTTTCACTTCACACCAACAAAAAATGTTCATAAGCCTTGGTAGCAAATTAGGAATTACTATACATCATAAATCAATGGACCCTGAAAAGGCAGACAGGAGAAGATAGAGATCCTCTCAGGAACAGTAAAAAAATACAAACTGAGTCATGCTCCCACTATAATGATCCAATTAAAGTGTAAATCATATTTTCCATATTTTTGTACAACAAAAATGAAACGACTAGGTAAAATGTACTTTACAGCTGAGATGATTAACTCATCGTCAATTCAAGTGAAGAAAGTTCAAAATTTCTATTTGTATTTAAAGGTGGTATGAAGGCAGCTTTTCGCACATTAGTATGGATAGGTGTAATTGTATTTCAATAAAATAAATGAGGAATCAGATCCATTAAACTAGGTGTAGGTTAATATTTTTAAACTTTCTAAGCAGTGTAACAAGAATGTTTACATTACCTCCTCGAACAACTCCATTAGTGCAAATGGCTGACATAGAGATACCTGTTAAGACGGTTACCACAACACTCAAGCAAATGATGACGACTGCAAGACCTGAAAGGAATCCCAGATTAATCTTTAGATATATTTCTCATACCTAGTCATCTCTGCAGTAACGTAACCATTTGGTTGGTGCTAATCGATGGATCCTGAAATGTTCTGAGAGTGAAAGGAATCCTTATCATTCCTGATCCTTGAACAGAGTACCTGAAATGTACTGAGAATAAAATGAATCTCTGGTCCTTGAAAACAGTACCTGAAATGTACCAAGAATAAAAGGAATCCTTGCCGTTTCTGATTCTTGAACCTGAAAAATTCCAAATGTCGTTCACTCTAAATATCTCAATTTAAATGTAGGACAATTTAACACATACCAACCTGTTGTGCTGTGATGAAGATATCACCATTAAGACTCCAAAAACACTGAACTCAATCGAGCTTCATTCAGAAAATTAGTTTTAGAAAGATGATAATATGTTGTGGAAAGGCCATATGTTCACCTACCATAAATAGTTCTGTGTTTTGGTGACCCAAGTATAGCTAAAATCATTACCTCCACGAACAAATCCATTTGTTGAAATTGCGGAGGTTGACAAGCCAGTAATTGAGGTTACCATAGTAGCCAGAAGGATAATAACAACTCCAAGACCTATCGGCAGGAAACCAAAGAAGATTACACATAACTAAGATGATCTTTTAGTATTCGGGCTTTTTGACTTTTTGAACACTAAGACCTGCAATCTGTCAACATGAAATGGTGTTTCAACTTTAGATTTTGTCTATTTATTACATCTGTAACTAAGTTGTTCTTGCCTTATTGCAACACAGTACACTACAAATTTACATAGCACCTTTTATGTCGGGAGGACTTAACTACTCAGCACTTAACAGTACTGGCTGGGCACCTGAACTGGGGGTGGGAGCCAAATGCAGTGGGGAGGAGAAGATGACCAAAAGTAGTCAGAGGTAGGTTTTGAGACAGACCTTTAACAAGGTGAGGGAGGGATAGAATCGGATGGAAGCTGGGGTGGAATTTCAGAGAGTGGGGGCAGTAAGGCTGAAGGGTCATCCGATGATGGTGGCAAGGAGGGTGGGGGACGTGAAGCAGCGGGCTGAGCAAAGTGATCGGTAGTTGCAGAGGTAGGGTGCGGCAAGACTAAGGAGGGATTTAAAGGTAGGAACGAGGATCTTGAACTCAATACGCTGGGGGATGGGAAACAAATTTAGCCGAGAAAGGATGGGGGTGATAGGCTTGCAGGGCCTGGTACAGGAAAGTACACCAGTTTGCAAAATTTTGCAGCATGTGAGGAAAGAGATGGGGATTCCAGCAAGCAAAGCATTCGCGTAGTCAAGCCTAGACAGGATAAAAGCATGGATGAGGTGCTCTGCAGCCTGAGAGGAGAAATATTAACAAAGGTGCGGGAAAACTGAGTGGGTCAGAGCAAAAGTGTGGGGTTTAAAGGCCAGTTGGGAGTCAAACATGGCACAGAAGTTCCGCACCTGCTCGCCGAGGTGGAGTATGCATCCATGCAGATTGATCCTGTCAGTGTCCAAGGTGAGAAAGTGCTGACGGGAGCGAAGCAGGAGAGATGGTTGTTGACGCAATTGTTCAAAACAGCAGCGGTCCCGAAATCAAGAGTTTAGGCAGAGATAGATTTGGGTGTCAGTAATAATAAGTAAGTTAGTAAGTTAACCCCATGTCTACAGATGACATCAACAAGTAGAAGTATATAGTAAAGATGAGAGGACCAAGGACAGAGCCCTGAGGAACACCACAAGACTGTGCAGGGGCAGGAGGAGAAAAATAATAATCCTTGCATTTGATATATGTGGAGTCCTGTAGCTCAGTGGTTAGAGCACTCGCTTTGCAAGTGAGAGACCTGAGTTCCAGGCAGAGGGCGAAACCTTGGGCAAGTTTCCTTACTCCACACAGAGCCTAATAATAATCCCTCCAAAACCCAAAACAATAATAAACTGGTCATTTTCAATCCATGACTGTTTGTGGGACATTGCTGTGCGCAATTGGCTGCCGCGTTCGCCCACAAATATACAGTCAATTCACTTTACAGTCTATTCTGTGAAGCGCTTTGAGACGTCGAGAAGACATGAAAAGTGCTATATCAAATGCAAGGATTATTATTATTACATTGAGTAAGGAAACTTGTCCAAGGTTTCACCCTGCCGGGAATTGAACCCAGGTCTCTCGATTGTGAGGCGAGTGCTCTAACCACTGAGCTACAGGACTATTGTGGAGTCCTGTAGCTCAGTGGTTAGAGCACTCGCTTTGCAAGTGAGAGACCTGAGTTCAATTCCAGGCAGGGCGAAACCTTGGGCAAGTTTCCTTACTCCACACGCCTAATAATAATCCCTCCAAAAAACAAAAACAATAATAAATTGGTCATTTTCAATCTACGACTGTTTGTGGGACATTGCTGTGCGCAATTGGCTGCCGCGTTCGCCCACAAATATACAGTCAATTCACTTTACAGTCTATTCTGTGAAGCGCTTTGGGACGTCCTCCCGACGTGAAAAGCGCTATATCAAATGCAAGGATTATTATTATTATTATTATTATTATTATTATTGAGCAGTTAGAAGAGAAAGTGAGATAGGTCTGAATTGTTCAGATCTGGAATGCATTGTCTAAAAAGGCTGGTGGAAGCCGATTCGACAACAGCTTTTAAAAAAAGAAGTAGATAATTATTTGGGGAGGACAAGTTTGCAGGATTATAGGGAGAGCCCGGGGAGTGGGATTTAAAGAACCGGCACAGACATGATGGGCCGAATGGCCTCCTTCAGTGCTAAATAATGCTATGGTTCTAGGAAGCTATGATAGAACAGAACCATGAAGGTGGAGCTGAGAGGAAAGGCATAGAGAAAGATAGAGTGCTCAACAGTGCTCGAGAACAAGGAGGCAGAAAGTACCTTGGTCGCAGATGAGACAACATCATTGGTGACTTTGGTCAAGGCAATCTCTGTACTGTGAACTGGGCGGAAACCAGATTTGTGACTGTTCATGTAGAGTGTGGGAAAAGAAAAGGTGAAGCTGAGAAGCAACAAATCATTCCAGTACCTCAAAAAGGGCATACAGATTGGAGATGGGATGGTAATTGAGAGTATGGCTGGGTCCACCGAGTGTTTTTTTGAGAAGGAGATGACAGTAGTTTTAAAGTAGACAAGAACAGTAGACAGGGAAAGGAAGCTTAATAATAGCTTTTCATTAAAAGTTAAGAATTCAGAATGTTATCTAAAAACAATAACAAATGTCATTTGGAGTTGCTGGACCATCAGAGTAAACTACACCAAGTCTATCCCATCCCGTGACATATTGAACTAATGGCTCACAAAAAAAAAATGTGTTATCCATCTCCTTGGCAATACCATGGTTGGGAGGACAAACCAGAGCAAAGGAAATGGTATCAGCAAGGGCCTAAGTAGAAACACAAGAAAATATCTTTCATTTGATATAGAGCCTTATCACATCATAGAGACATCGCCGAACAATTCACAAGATTTACTGTCATGTAGTAAATGTTTAATTGTAAGCAAACACAGCAGGCAATTTTGCGCACAGCAACGTCTCACAAACAGCCATGAATTAAATGACCAATTTTATCTGGAGGATTGTTGGCCAGAACACTAGGTGAAGCTCCCTTTTCTTTTCAAAGTGCCATTAATGTTTACTTGAACAAAGTTGGTTTAATGCCTCAGCTGGAGGGCACCTCCAACAATGCAGTGTTCTAGCACTGTATTAGAGTGTTAGCCTAGACTGGGAGCTCAAAGTCACAACATGGACTTGAACACAGTGTTCTGACTCAAAAGGAAACCAACTAAGCCAAACTGACAACTAAAACTGTAAAACTATAAGCGTCTGATACATGCTGGTGATGGTACGTACCCTGCTTACCTAAAACAGCATTAGGTGCTGTTGGTAAAATTCAAAGCTCGGGGGCTCCAGAGTGCACATTGAGTGCCGCTGGAGTTTAACTAGCTAGAACTACACAGGTTGTCAGAGAACACTGTCTGGCAAGATTACTGCTGTTTTTACAACTAGGATTACAGTACTTATTAAGGCTTTGTTAAGATTAACCTTGCTGAGGCAGGGTTATCAGGAGCCAAGTGAAAAGAATCTCCGCCTCCAGTGACAGGTTCAGTACTGGGTGACATCATCCTGCCTGAAGGGATAAGGCAAGTTGTTGTTTTGGTCTGTTCCTCCAAATCCTGCCGATGAGCTGGACAAGCTGGCCTGGAGTATTGTGGACCCACCTGACTCAGGAACTAGAGTCCCGAGACCACGACAGACCCGACTGACTTGATTCCATTATATTTGCTGAATTTATAATGCGCCTGACAAATTGCCATTAATGATATCTATGGTACATATCCAACTACTGTTTACAGCCAATAGTGCATAAACAATTGACCACAGCATTATTCCTGAAATATATTACACCGTAAGAGCACAAGATGAGTCTAATGAGCCACACACAGCAAGCTATTTTCAGTTAATCAAGCATGCAAGCTAAAGAAACACTAACTAATATAAATAAGTATATTAAGATCCTATTACAGGTTTTAAAGCTAGTTTGTGCTTTATTGTGCACTGTAAACAATAGTTGGGTATTCACCATAGACATTGTTAATGGTAATTTGTCAGGTACAGGATAAGTTCAGCAAATATAAAAGCTGTCTTTTTTGAGGTGCCTACATTCTTCCTACAACGGTAAGGTATGCTTTTTGTTCCATTACAGGGTCTCAAACTGTAATGGATAAAGTATGTTTCCGACAAATGAACTTCAGCTTAGAAAGCACTGGTTTCTCTATCAGTATGCAAAACTGTTTGAAGGACAATTAGGACAGTCACTGATATAAAACAATAAATCAAAGCAAGACTCAAATGCAAAGTAGTAAAAATTTATAGAAGACTAATTATTTTCTCAATATATACTTTTCTTCAACATACACAAGGATGGGAAAGTTCAAAGAAGAAAGGTACAGTATAGGTAAGAAACATATCAGGCAATACGTATATCCTTATTCAGTGGTGTAGGACTGGAAGTCTCCTCAATATGGGCTCATTAATTAAGTCTTAAATATAGGCTTTATAGGATTAGGAATTTTTGAGGGAAAAATGCAAGAACAAAAGAGGAAAAGAAGCTTTTTAGAGGCTGTTTCTGCATGGGATGTAAAAATTCCATTTGAGATAAATGAGGCCCATTATATTTATAGACTAAATATTACCTACGACAATCCATGCATTTGATACAAAGCCTATACATAGATATTGAGAAAATATTTGTGAGAATACTGGAAGAACTTTGCTCTTTTTCAAAGTTACATTGTACAATATTTAATATTGAGCTGAACCACCAATACAGGCAAATAGAACCTTGGTTTAATGTGTCATCTGAAAGACAGTGCCTCCTGTACTGCAGCGCTGAGTGCTGCACTGGAGGTTCAGCCTAGATATGATGAATTAAAGACATTATGATTGCGTTCGAAAGGCTGGAAGACATCAACGTTTCAGTATCTGTTTTTCCTGACCTGAAGTTTATTCAAATGATAATTTCAGTGTCAGAACTTTGCAAGATCCTGCACTAGTAATCCAGATCCCAATTACTAAGTGGGCTTACTTACTGCCACCGGTGACTGACTGTTCTCTCCCCCCCGCATAACATACAATGCGTCAGAAGGTAAACAACCTCTTTCTGAAAACTTGTTATTGACCACAAAGATGAATATATAGGCTAATGGTGCTTCAAAATATTCATACTTTTGTGTCATCTTTAACATTTGAAACAATCAAATCAAACAATAACAGACTCATTATTATGTGTGCTATGTTAACTACAACAAAATGTATAGATGTGAACATACCTATTCCGGCTTGACCAACTATCCATGAGAGTCGAATAAAAAGCATGACACCCCAGATATTCAACATACATCGGACCTATAGCAAAAGACACTCAATCAGCTTGATAGCTGAATTATAATAACCTGAACGAGTTAAGATGAAAATAAAAGCTGAGGTGAGCATTGTTTTATTACAAAATTCTCTCCAAAATGAATTTAAAAATTGAAACAAGATATTTCCTACAGACATATTATTGATGAATCAATAATAATTTACATGTACATTGCACACAAGGAGAACGTGTCAAAGCACTTTACAAAAACTGATGGGAGACAGGAGATAGGGGGAGTTGGCGAAAGAAGCAATCAAAGGTAGGTCTTTAGGCAAGTTGTAAAAGCCGAGAGAGAGGGCATGAGGTGGCGTGATTAGGGAAGAGTTACTAAGGGTGAAGGAAAATAGTAGAAAGCTCACCTGCCAATGGTAGGGTGGAGTGGGCGTGTGGCATGAAACTGACCTAAGTTGGCAGAGCAGAGTTTGCAGCTGGGGGAGTAGGACCACAGGAGATCGCACACACAGGTATGGGGCATATAAAGATGAGGATCTCAAACCATCGATTGAGGGATAGAGAGACAATGCAGCTTGGCAAAAATAGGGGTTTGGGGATTGTGGTGCTTTGTGTAGGAGAGGATCCAGGCTGCAGAGTTCTGGATGGTCTGTGGTTTATGGAGGATGGAGTTGTGGAGGCTGGCGAGAATGGCATTGGAAAGCTGAAAAGAGCAGAAGAGTGAGGTAGGAAGATCAGAATAAGGAGATGCTCTAGAAGGGATGAAAACCTTCAACTAGATCCAATGGCAGACAGGAGACGGTGGAATCTGGGTGATGGTCAATTGGGTGAGGATGCAGAGAATGAACTATGAATTGTAAATTGTTGAAGAAACAATTCCTGTTTGAGGCGTTGAGTGAAAGCCATGAATGAAAGTTGCAGTGACATTTTGTGTGAGATAATAATTAGTATTAGTAAGGTCTTAGCAAGAGATTGATTTAAGGAAGTAAGGAGATAAAGATATGGATGAGGGTTTCAGCTTCATGAGCCAGCAAGCTAGTGGCATAGGTGGCTGACATTGCTGAGATAATAATAATAATAATCCTTGCATTTGATATAGTGCTTTTCACGTCGGGAGGACGTCCCAAAGCACTTCACAGAACACACTGTAAAGTGAATTGACTATATTTGTGGGCGAACGCAATGTCCCACAAACAGTCGTAGATTGAAAATGACCAATTTATTATTGTTCTTGGTTTTGGAGGGATTATTATTAGGCTCTGTGTGGAGTAAGGAAACTTGCCCAAGGTTTCGCCCTCTACCTGGAATGGAGATGGAGAATAGGGGACTTCATCAGACCCCATGTGAAAGTCTTAAAGCAGGATTGAGGGTTGAACTGAAGCTTCGTACGGTGAGCAAGCAGGAAGGTCGATACGTTCTGTGCTTCAGGTGAGGAGGCGTGAATGGGAGTGAAACAGAATAGCCTCAGTTTTGTCAATAATAATAATCCTTGCATTTGGTATAGCGCTTTTCACGTCGGTAGGACGTCCCAAAGCGCTTCACAGAACACACTGTAAAGTGAATTGACTGTATATTTGTGGGCGAATGCGGCAGCCAATTGCGCACAGCAATGTCCCACAAACAGTCGTGGATTGAAAATGACCAATTTATTATTGTTTTTGGTTTTGGAGGGATTACTATTAGGCTCTGTGTGGAGAAAGGAAACTTGCCCAAGGTTTCGCCCTCTGCCTGTTAAGTTGGGAGAAAGTTATGGCTCATCTATTTCCCATCACCCGCTTCCTTATGAGAACCATTGTGAGCCTGGATTTGCATCTGGAGTTTCTACAGATAGTAAAATCAGTTTGCAGATTGGATCAGGCTACACCCAAATCTAGCATTTAAGCTAAGAAAAGTTAATGTTTATCCAATTGATGCAAGGCTATCCTTTTCTTTGACATCTGTGTATTGACCTCCAGACCAGCCCAAAATAACATCTATGTAAATGAATAGTGTCTCTCCAAGATACAAGTGAGCTGCCCTTTACATCCTTTGCAAGCTACTGGGGCAGTGTAAGCAGATGGTTCACTAAAATGAAAACGATCGCAGATATTTATTACCATTTAAAATACTGATGAAGAATTACATGGACCATAACCTCACCCCACTCCACTGACATCCTATACCCCAGCAAGTCAACTAATTTTAACATCCTCGTCCTTAACTTTAAATGGGTCCATGGCCTTGCCCTACCGACTGCAGTAATCTCCTGACACGACCTTCCAGCCATTCCCTTCGCTCCACCAATTGTAACCAGCTTCATGCCCCTTCACTTCACCATCAGCAGACCAGCATTCAGCCAGTTTGTCACTGTCCTCTTCAGAACATTTCCCAAATCCCCGAACTTCATCCCATATACTGCAGTCACTCTGCATGCACTTTTTTCCTGGATGTAATATACTCCGTGAGTGGGGAAAGGGTGATGATATCAACCACATACTTCAAAATGCATTAAAGTTCCCTCGTTATTGTTTTTCAGGCTCTATCAGTACTAGGTCAAACTTCCTGTTTAATATTTGAAAATATTTCTGTAAATAATCATTGATTAGAATTAGTCTAATCTTATTGAAAGAATGGAAATAAACATAATTATGGATTTAATGTATTTTTCTTACCAACACACCCTTGATCCATCCAAACCTAACTAATCCATCCTTACTGCTTGCATTTTTTCTTTCTGTTTCTTCACTGCTCAGTACACCATCTCCATTAGCAACACCATCCAAAATGCCAGGAACTGGTGGCAAAT